ATTAGCTGGCACAAGACCAAAACAAATTGCAAAATATTAACAAAAAATTGCTCCAAAAAAATCAAGGGAATATGGGGGTCCATTTCAAAAAAGAATGTGCTAGATCAAGAACTTTGTGAACCATTGAGAGTTGGAAACAATAATAACACAAGGGATGGCTACCAAGTGGTTTATCCTCAGAGCCCCATCACAGAGTATCCCATTGGTTCAAACACAGAATATTTGCCTTATAGCAATCCAAGTTTATCATATGTATGGAATCCCTTCCCAAATTCCTATATTTCCCATGACTGCAACACGCCTTTCGTAGATGATGAAGATTGAGAAAACTTAGAGTCACTGTTCGGAAAACCTCCAAAATCTGGGGGTCTGTATCATACCGATTTCGACGATATGCAAGTTGGTTTTCGAACTTCATCTTCCTCATCTTCTTGCTTTCCAAATACCCGAAGTTGATCTTCGGTTTATCCAAGCATTGATTCCGTAAATTCTTCATAGGATTTGGAATCAGAAGAAAGACTATATTCATACTCTGGATAATGAAATAGTTGTGGTTGGTGATCGGGATAGTAATATGGTTTGGGACTTAAAAGGGAGGATGGACAAGGAATGTTTTATATTTAGATGCTTGATTTAATATTTAATAAATTTTATATTTTTAAACAAGAATTTCTCTTCCGTAATACTTACTCGCTCCAGCTAGGATATGACCATCGTTACTCGGGTATTATCTTTATCACTTGGTGGTAAATGCAACCACTTTTCATTTTGGGTAAAGCATGTTGAAATAAATAAGTTAAGCCAATACTTTATGAACCAAGAAATAGCACGGAGAACAAGCTCGGGTGAACACCCTTCTGAAATGAAGAATTGGTGATGATGCAATTTGGCGAGAGTCGGATGCAACATGCTGGCCAGCAGCTATGTACAAGCTTTCACTTTTATTCTCTGTCTCCAGCAGGGTCCTTCGGGTCTCTATAGATATTAATTCGTGATAATACATTTTACTTAGATTATATCTACAGGTTACTTAAAGATAGATAGTACATTATAAGAAATACATACATAGAAGACTCAGATCCCATTTATACTTGTAACAAAATCACGCAATTACAAACAACCCTACCCATCCAAGGCATATCCAAGATCAACACCCTTAAATTGTTCAGCCAATGCACCCAACTTCTCAGCCAACATCTTCAAATTCTCATTCCTTGGTTCGAATCTACCTAACCATTCGCCAACACCATGCTGAAGAATCCCCTTTGCTCTAACTTTCCCCAATTCAACATTTCCATAAGATCCATGAATAGTAATTCTCTTATTCTTAGCCTGATATGCTGCACGATGTAAGATATTATTATTATAAAACACAATATCACCGGGATGTAATTCAACAACAATCTCACCACTAATATATTCCGTCCTCCTCGATTCGTCTACGGTCTTTTCCCGTTCCTCAGCGGTTCTAACTCGTTTATGTGACCCGGGAATAACAATGAGACACTTATCCTCAGTCAAAGCCAAATTGAACTGAGCACCAGCATATGGATTCATCAACAATTCCTGGGCTTCTTCTTCTGGAGTCACACTTGGCTTGATAGTATCACGATGCCAATCCAATTCGAAATCACTTAAAGGGTTAATCAACATATTTAACAATTCCATCGAGATTTCCAGTTTTTCAATCTGTAAAATATCACTAACGAGATTCAACATCTTGTCATCAGAATATAAATCATGGAATGGATAACTCATGTTTCCTAAATCAGGGTGAAGAAGGCCCGAAACTCCCCAGATGTCAGGAATGAAGCCTGGAGTGGTTGGCCAAGGAGGGAACTGTTTGCCACGGGTTCTGACTTGGGACCAGTGGCCGTCACGGGCATATTGGATTAAACGTTCTGCGGCGGCGGTGTATTTGGTGATCTCTTCTGGGGAGAGGAAGTTACGAACTACGGTGAAACCAGTTTCTTCGATTTCGTCGTGATGCTTATGAGGGAGAATTGATGGCATAATTGATTAGGGTTGTTGGTTTCTTGTAGTGGGATGGGGTTTGTGACAACGGGATATTCGTAGTCTATTTATACATGTTGTTGGGGATGGCTATAGTTGTTTTGGAGGAAGGGTCTTTTGGAGATCTTTTTTTAGATCAATGTTACATTTGATTGTTCTCAAAAAATGTAACATGGTATAATTATCCAATGAAAAATGAATTAAATATGTTTGTGTAAGATTTACTCTATACCTGCTGTGGGGGAGGCTTGCATGATGTGGAGGACTTCATCTATGAGCCATAATAACGGTGAGAAGTGGATGCCGTGTAGATGAGAAGCTAGCGGTGTAATGTAACCATGTTGCTGAAAACTTAATTAGATCCTACTGGGGTAAACTCCTAAAAACTGGAGCCAATTCGCTTGTAAATGCCCTTCATTTAAATCACGCTTTATCTAATTGATATGATGGAGATAAAGTATGCAAGGCTACTTAAAGATTACGAGCCATGTGCCATAAGCGAGTTCTATAGAAATAGTACTGTAAATCTACGTATTGGAAAGGAAGGTGGGTGACATATCTGGCAGTAGTAAAGTGTATGAAGAAGGTCTAAGATAGTAAACATACGATCTCAATGCCAATCAAGTTCGAACAAACATACAATGCTTCTTGAGACAGTTCATCTGCAAGAGTCTCCTTTTAAAATAGAGCCCTGGATACGGATAGAATTTGTTCTTTACTCTCTACCGGTAATATTTCACTTACAATTTACCACTATATTAAATAGTAATAAATGATTTAAGTATTGAACTGACTAACCTCGATGTTATATTCAGTTATTATAGCAAATAATAATATCTCTTAAGAACTAAATTATAAGCAAAATATATATTCATAGAAATGTAAGTTAAGATCGATGATCTGTCTATATAAAATAGAAATATGGAATGAAAGGAAATAGCCTCCTTTAAATATTCCTGCGTGGCAATCAGAAATTACTCTAAATGTAACACGTCTGAAAAATACAATGGAGAATAAAAACAATATAAAAATGTCGCAAGAAGAAACATCCATCTTCTCCCTGAAGCTGGTGATCTGAAATGATACTTTTTTTAACTATGTTCCAAGGACATCATCCATACGATTTGGCTATCAAATCAACTGCTAAAGCGGATGTGGCTGCATCGGGGGATTGTAGTGGCTTGGCAAACACATATCCTGAAATATATTCAATGCAAACTAAGACATATTTGAAAGTATTGGAATCAGCAAATGGTCCGATATGATCTAGTCCCCATCTGCCAAAACGTTTCCGAGGTTCTAAGGGATAGAACTGTCTGATTACTTGATGGAATGTTGCATGGGTCTGGCAATAATGACAGGAACGAATAACTTCCGTGGTGATTAATAGGTGGTCGGGGTGCCAAACATGTTGTAAGACTAAATAATCCGTAACTCTGATAGATACATGGTGTTTATCATGGATAGCGGTAGCATAATATCTAAAATATTCATGTCGCACAACTTTGAGTAATCATTCAAGGAGATGGTAAAACCTGAATTAACAGAAGAATTTCTTCACATTATTGGAGCACATGAAGCAGCTCTTGATCAGGTACAAGACTATGTATGGTGCTTATTTCACACGACTTTTTCATCTATTCGGTACTCAAACATTTCGCGCAAGAGACTCAATTGAATCGAATACTTATGAATTTAATTCAATGGATCGACAAGTATTCCACAAGAAATCCTTGAATCCACGCACTTCCAGAGAGACCAACAAACGCTATGATTCACAACGGAAATCCCAAGGCTCCAACAGATACTATGACATCAGATTCTACTACCATAAGAAGAAGAAGTACTGTGGTTATTTCCTAAGTCGAAGATATACAAGTTGGATAGACACATTGTTGCCAAGTCGGCTTTAAAAGGGAAGCAGAGAGTTGAACGAGCTGTTGATGTTAAATTATCCAAACCATTTGATTGTGTTCTTACTTTCTACATCTTATCAGACCTTGACAAAGTCATTATCGGGAAGCCAGCCTTAAAAGTGTGGAAATATCAGACGACCGATAAAGGAGATCATTTAACCATAGATGGACGGACATTCACAATAGAAGCGATGGAAGTGGAAGAGACGAGAATACATGCATTACGAACTGAATTAGAACAAGATCTACTACTGAAATTTCCTAAGGTGTTTTCTACTGAGCCACGACCACCACAAGAAAGGGCATTTAAGCACCAGATAATTATAACGGATGAGACTCCCGTCTTATCTCCGGCCTTCTATGCTACTCCTGAAGAGAAGAAAGTCATCTATGGATTCGTGGATGAGAAACTTAAGGCAGGGATTTTAGTTCCTGCAGTTGAAGGATCCTGGGTTAGTCCAGTCTTTGCAATCAAACAACATGGGAAGTATAGAGTTGTGACAGATTTAAGACCTGCAACATATAGTTCACCATCAATTAAAGCAAAATTTTAGATGTCTAATGGAGCACCTTCTTCTTCAACTTCCTCTAAAGGTCCTAATTCCTGAAGTTTCTTCTTGATTCTTGCAAGCTGGGATTCATCCAAACTCTCTAGAGCTAAAGGATTCACTTCTAGTAGTTGGATTTTAACCGAGTGAGTCACTTCATAACCATCCTTAAGTAATTCTTTCTCATCCAGGGTAGCCTTAATCGAATATTCTTGGTATCTCGAGAGGATGTCTGCCATAAAGGTTTTCTTGCCTTCTAAATAATAAACCGTAGGAGAAAAAGCGCCAAGTACATCTAAGAAACGTGCAACTCTCAATGGTGGCTGGGTAGACTTATCTTGGATAAGGGACAACGATTGATGATAAGAATAGACCTCGACGTTACAATGGCAAAGATAACTGAACTTCTTGAGAATGGTGATAATCGCCAAGAGCTCTTTCTCCGTCGCGGAGTAACGGCTTTGCGTTAGAGTCAATTTGAATGAGATAGGCACTAGAACTTCCTTTCCGTTAATGGGTCGAGGTTGACAGATAAATACACCAATGGCCCTGTCCGGAACTATCAGTAAAACCATAAGTAACACAATTTGGATCGTAGATGAATAAAGTTGGTAGTTGGATAAGTTTTCATTTAAGCTTCAAGAACGTATCTTTTCATTCATCCGTATGAGAAATGGGTGTGTGCTTCTTCGTCTTGTCCTTAATCAAATCCCTCAAAGGAGCTGTGAGCTTGGATAGATCAGGTATAAACTGCCCGAAAAAAATTGTGAAGTTCACTATTGATCTCACTTCAGTGGATGTTTGTGGTAGTGTCCAATTATGGATAGCTTCAACTTTATCTTTAGTCGGGGTAATCTGTCCTTCTGTGATAGTGTAACCTAAAAAATCCACTTTGGTCTTCACTAATTTCGTCTTCTTAATGCTGATTTGTAGGCCATGATCATTCAACATTTGACACACTTCTTTAATCCTCTTTACATGTTCATCTAAGTGTTCATGGTAGAAAAGAATATCGTCCATATATGAGATTACTCCTACATTCTTAGGTAAAATATCCACTAGAAATTTTGAGAAGACAAATGGAGCATTGACTGCACCGAATGGGAGGGTTGTAAAATTGAAATTACCCATGTGGGTAATGACCCCGAATTTCCTGGAAGTTTCTGGTGTTACAGCGATTTGATGATATGCTGACTTAAGATCCAATACAGAAAACCACTTTGATTTATGTAGAACACCAATCAAATCTCTGAAATTATTAAGATAACATGGAACTTTCACCGTCTTCTTGTTCACTCGTCTTAAATCCGTCACAACTCTATACTTCCCATGTTGTTTGATTACAAAGACAGGACTAGTTTTGATCCTTCAACTGCAGGAACTAAAATCCCTGCCTTAAGTTTCTCATCCACGAATCCATAGATGACTTTCTTCTCTTCAGGAGTAGCATAGAAGGCCGGAGATAAGACGGGAGTCTCATCCGTTATAATTATCTGGTGCTTAAATGCCCTTTCTTGTGGTGGTCGTGGCTCAGTAGAAAACACCTTAGGAAATTTCAGTAGTAGATCTTGTTCTAATTCAGTTCGTAATGCATGTATTCTCGTCTCTTCCACTTCCATCGCTTCTATTGTGAATGTCCGTCCATCTATGGTTAAATGATCTCCTTTATCGGTCGTCTGATATTTCCACACTTTTAAGGCTGGCTTCCCGATAATGACTTTGTCAAGGTCTGATAAGATGTAGAAAGTAAGAACACAATCAAATGGTTTGGATAATTTAACATCAACAGCTCGTTCAACTCTCTGCTTCCCTTTTAAAGCCGACTTGGCAACAATGTGTCTATCCAACTTGTATATCTTCGACTTAGGAAATAACCACAGTACTTCTTCTTCTTATGGTAGTAGAATCTGATGTCATAGTATCTGTTGGAGCCTTGGGATTTCCGTTGTGCATCATAGCCTTTGCTGATCTCTCTGGAAGTGCGTGGATTCAAAGATTTCTTGTGGAATACTTGTCTATCCATTGAATTAAATTCATAAGTATTCGATTCAATTGAGTTTCCTGCGCCAAATTTTTGAGTACCGAATAGATGAAACTTTACTATGTTCTAACTCTATCGCCAGATGGATAATAGACATAGCGATGGAATAACCATTATAAACACTTCACTCAACCCAAATATCTTTAATAGGAATTTCTATTTTTATATAATTTTTGAGCCAAACCCCTATCTTTTGTTGTTTGATCATCTCTAAGTTTGATTAATAAAAATATGAACTTTATTGAGTTTAAATGAAAGTTTATGTTCCCCCCTGTAGTTGGTTGTTGAATGGGAAACACTTATATGAAGGAAGGATTCCAAATGCGGTAAGTGCGGCTTAGCATTGCCAACCATCATGTATGAGATGGTCTACTTAAAGATTATGGAATACTCAGCACTTTTCCTGGATTTTACGATTTGAAGTTTTCTAAGCTCTGTTTAACTTAACCATCAATAAGCAACAATTACAGCTGAATGCTCGCCAGAACTACTCTACCAGCTGCTTATTATGTTGTATATACATACGTAACCGTTATCCTATTACGTGTTATCTTTAGATAAAAAGCCTGTAACCAATCAAATTACATTTATAGAATCCAAGATACATATGCATATCGTTTATAATTCTATTTCCTCTATAATATACCTTTCTATCTCTTCCTCTCTCTCTCTCTCTCTCTCTCTCTCGGTCCTCATCGCATCTCATCGCCTTCTGAAACAAATCAAAAAAAAACGCAATTGGTAGCGACATACAAACTCACAAGAAAGTGAAAAAAAATTATTTCACTAATATAAATACTCTTCCTATCATTATCTACCATTCACTCTACAAGAATACACTCAAATCATGTTCTTAAGACGAGTGGCACTCACACGAGGAGGTGCAACAGGAGCCAATAGGATATCGTCCACGGTGGTATCTTCTGCCTCGGTTCCATCTCGTTATGTATTGCATTATAATCATCACCATATCCTGACAAGACAATTTTGGAATGGGTGGTTGCCACCAAAAGCTGAAGAACAGAAGAAGAAGGAAGAAATTAATGGAGTTGATGGGTTGAAGATCAAGGCGGGAAATAAGCCTGCACTTGGCGATTCTGAAGTCTTGGTTGAAGGAGGAGTTGAAGTGGGAGAAAAACCTAATCCGGTGGAAGAGGGTTTGGAAACTAAGACTGAGTCTGAGGATATTAGGAGTGGAGATAAGACAAGTGAATTTGAAGATATAGAAGCTGGTTTCATCGATGAGTTACCTTCAACAAAGAAATTGGAAACAGATCAACTCAAGCCAGAACAAATAGTGGTTACTGAATCAAAAGAGGCATTTGAAGACTCAGAGCTTGGATCGATAGATGAGTTGGTTTCTGAGAAGAAGCCTATTGCAGAAACTGAACCTGAAAAAGTAAAAGACTCTTTGGTCTCTAAAGACACATTTGAGAATTTCGAAGCTAGTTCAATCGATGAGTTATTTTCAAGATCGAACAAGAATGACGTGAAACCTGAACTTACGGAATCTACCGAAGCCCAAATAGCATTACCCGCAGATCTTGATTCAATACCTGTTAGGGGATCCAGTGGATCATTTCACAACGAAGGGCATGAATTTTTAGATGATTTTGTTTCGATTCCAAACTCAGAAACCAAGTCTGAATCAATTGAAACTGTTCCAGTTCCTCAAGACACAATTGAAAATTTCGAAGCTAGTTCAATCGACGAGTTGTTCTCAAGAACAAACAAGGAAGAGCCCAAACCCGAACAAGCACAATCCACCACATCACCAAACACGGATTCCCACGGTTCATTACTAAACCTTGAAGATTTTGAATTCGAAAACCAAAACACTCCACCACCAACAACAACATCCACCACCACCACCAATTCCAACTCCACAGCGGAAGAATCCCCCTTTTCAACATTTGGACTTGAAGCTTTCGGCTTCCAAACCACCACCACCACCACCACTCACCAAGAAGGTTCCTACGTCCATTCATCACTCCAACCAAACCAACTCATAATCGGTGACAAATCAAAACGAATCTTCTTAAACCAATCAGATATATATAAGCCCTATGACCGGGCATTGCGTCTAACCCCGCCATTAGGGAAGACATATCTTGCCAAAACGACAGGTATTAAGGCGTTGCAATCCAAGAGCGCCGCCAAAAGGGCGACCAAGAAGGGGTCCAAGATGGGTAAGACGAAGGTAGTGGCTGAGGAGGAGGAGACAGTGGAGGATGTGGTTGAGAAGAAGGATGAAAAGACGAAGAATATTGTATTATCGAAGGAGGACAGGTTGAAACAAGAGGCTGAGAGTCTTGTGAAGAGAAGAGAGAATGCTTTGAAGTTGGTTACGTCTGTGAATGAGGTTGTTGCTGGTGCTGAGGGCAATACGAAGAAGAAGAACAAAAAGGTGTCGTCGGATATTGAGATTGATGAATTAGTGGAAATGATGGAGCTAGTAAGACCGATCCATAAAAGTGGGAAGGTAAGGAAGACGATTGGAAATCAGGAATTTGTTGATTTGAGCAAGAGAATGCAGGGTATGTTTATGCGTAAGCATTTATTGGCATATGTCGAACATATGAGGGCTTTGGGTTCGAATGTCGATAAGTGTCCACTGCGTGCAACCAAGCAAGATATAATTAAGACGATATGTGAATATATCTGGCAGACCAAAATCAAAGACCCCCAACACCCAGAACAAAAAGAATCAGAACAACAGGTCCATGTCATGACACAAACATCATTCAAATTAGACGACCCCAAACTCATCTTCCACCTCCAGAACTCCAACATCTTACGCCAATGGAAAGACCAGTACGGGCTCGACGTCTATTTCGCAAACCAAACCATCTACTTCCAGGGTCCATCACCCTTAAAACTCGCCGAACCACTCCTCATAGGCGCCATTAATAATTTTGTATCCGCTCCATTCAATTTCTCAAAAATAATCTCCCGTTTCGGTCCAAATCAATTCTCACTCGAGAAATTCCAATCCATGGCAAAAGTCTACATCGAACCAGGGTCAGATAATATCTATACAGTCTCAGCGTCATCCGAAACCGAGTTGAAACAATTCGAAAGACTCTATCATTCAATCCTGGGCCAGAATCCACATCTCAACACCTCGATATCTGATCAACTGGCATTAGATGCAAGATCATATATTCCATATAGTTTATTGGATAGGTTTGGGTGGATTGAAAAGTTGTTTTCATATTTTATGCCCGAGAAACCAGCTTTGGAAAAGATTGAAAATGGGGTATATCAGAGATTAGTTGATGAGATTGGGAGGAAAGATGCGAAGAGGTTGAGGAGGGAGATTAATGAGGCGTTAACTGATGATGTGAAAAAGGAAGAGAATGAGGTCGTGAAGAAGGAAGAGGAAGATGATGAGTTGGCTGCTGCGTTAGAAGATATTAAGGTTGCTGCAAAGGAAGAAGGAGAAGAAAAGAAGGTGGAACTTGGTGAGAAGAAGAATAATGGGAATGAGGTTGAAGAGGCTATTGATGATTTATTCCTGGTATTGAAAGAAAGACAACCAAGTGATGCTGCTGAGAAGACGGATGGTTCTAAGAAGGTTCATGAAGATTTATCTGATTTCCTTGAGTTGAACGAAGAATATGAAGGATTTGAACTTCAATTAATGGATCCAGAAGAAACAACAACCAAACAAGGAGAAATGGAATCTTCATTGGAAAAAGAAGAACCATTAATTGAAAAACCAAGGGTTTCAATCTCTGATTATTTCACAAAAGAACAAGTTGATGAAATATATAATAAAGTGAATGATATTTCATATATCAAAGATCTTAAGGGAGTTGAAAAAGAGAATATCTTTAGTTCTGCAATCACGGTTAATTTTGGTACTATCTTTATGAAACAAACCTCATCTGATAAATTATTCCCAGAGGTACCGAACACCCCTAACAAGAATAGTCAATTTGAATTTGTAACTAATGATAATTTAGTACAAGATTTCATTACTCAATTACCATTATTCAATACCGATCATGAAACTAATCAAAAATTAGAATTATCATTTGAACCTGAATTGTCAGAGGAAGGTAAAGTTAAATATCCTCCGGTTGTTATCCAGATTGATACTAGTTTTGGTGCAGTATCAGTTGCAGAATCAATAGTTGCATCAGTAGAAGCTCATAATAAAGTTCTTGTTCCAATAAATAATGGTATATGTGATTTAGAAATTTCAAAAGTTGTATTAGGAGATTTATTAGTACCAGAAATTGATAAACAAAGAAAGGAATATAATGAAGAAGATAATGAAATGGGTATAACTTTAAGAAGATTTAGAAATCAACCTGAATTGCTTAAATTCTTTGAAAAGTCAAATTTAAGGATAAGTTCAAATCAAAAGATTGACGTTGATGAAGAGGTTGAATTATATATTGGTGATGATAAAGTGAAATATATTCATACTGGATTAATGATTATGAATGAGATTCTATTCAATTATCATGACCTACCAATATGTTTAAGAATATCAGAAGGTGGAACATTAGGAGGTAGAAAGGTTGAAATTGAAGTTGGACATGGTGAAATTCCAAGAGAAGAATTTGATGATTTCTTAATAAAAATGTTACAAATTGTCCATAATTCTTCCTAGATGACCTGTTACTACTACTAGTACTACTTGTATATAGACTAATAACTTAATAAACATTTGTATAAACTATAGACCGACTATAAGCTATATCTATATGATATATATATATGGTAATATGCCCCGGGCTAAACTACTTCTTTTCTTCTAAACTTTTAATATGTTTTTCTAAATTATTAATTGAATTTTGTAAACTAACAATATCACTAATCATTACTGAATTAGTTGATTTATATTGATCTAATAAATAATAATAACATCCAATTCCTGTACCAGTAACTCCTAATAAGAATCCAACAAATCCTCCTCTAAATGCTCCTACCTTCTTAGGTGTAGCTGATACTGATGCTTCAGTTGAATATGAACGAATGGACGTGGTTGTTCTTCTGAGTAATTGACGAGTGAACATTGTGTGTTAGTTATGCTATGTGTGTGTGTGTGTGTGTATAAAAGTAAATAATTGCTAAGGTTTGATTCTCGAAGAAAGAAATTTTTCGATTCTTCTAAAAAATTCTTTGTTTTTTCGTTGGTTAATTTGATTGAATGTGGGTGATTTCTATTTAATTGTCGTACACCCTTGATTAAAACAAAAGAGATGGCGAACTCAATAGCACCTTTCTTAAAATGGGAGTCATATGTAGTCAGATGGTAAACATGGCATTACACTAGCATATGGAAGTGAGATATATAATTGTTATTATGTAATTGTTATTGCATATAGAAATATTCTGAAACGAGTGTATGTTGGGAGGGGCGGGATCAGGGGGGAGGGGGGCGGAATTCTGATGAGGATGGTAGATTTGGAGAAGGATCTTGAGTAATAAGACTTAGTAAGGTCCTGTATTCTCATAGACTCAACAACTAATACAACTATCCAGATATTAATTATCTCTTAAAAACGTATACTTAATATGTGTGTCGTAAATACTAGTATTTCTTTGTCGCGACAATCTCTTGATGCGATGCTCATCATTTTAAAGAAAATAAAAATATTTAATGAAAATTCTTTCACACCNCGAGTGTATGTTGGGAGGGGCGGGATCAGGGGGGAGGGGGGCGGAATTCTGATGAGGATGGTAGATTTGGAGAAGGATCTTGAGTAATAAGACTTAGTAAGGTCCTGTATTCTCATAGACTCAACAACTAATACAACTATCCAGATATTAATTATCTCTTAAAAACGTATACTTAATATGTGTGTCGTAAATACTAGTATTTCTTTGTCGCGACAATCTCTTGATGCGATGCTCATCATTTTAAAGAAAATAAAAATATTTAATGAAAATTCTTTCACACCATCATCAACTACTTCTACCTATCAACCAACCAACCAACCATGGACCAATTACGAACAACATACAAGCACAAAGACATCGAACCAATCTATATCGGAGGCACAACCGCCACTATCTCCTCAACCACCCCTACGCAATACTTAGCCACCCCCTTAAATGAAGACATCATAATCACCAATCTCTCCACCAATGAAATCATCCACCGTATCGAAGGAGATGGAGAACTCATCACCCTGGTCATCATAACCCCCGATGGGAAACATTTAGCCATCTGTTCTCAATCTCAACAATTACGTATCTTTGACTTAGTTCTTGGAGAAATCACCAAGACACATAAATTACTGGCACCAGTGTATATCTCAACCGTCGATTCTACATCGAGTTTATTTGCTTTTGGTGGTTCTGATGGGGTTATTACTGTCTGGGACATCGAAGGTGGGTTTGTCACTCATTCATTAAAGGGACATGGGACTACTATTTGTAGTTTAAGTTTTTATGGAGAGTTGAATTCATCAGATTGGAAATTAGCTAGTGGTGATACGATGGGGACGGTTAAGATTTGGGATTTGGTGAAGAGGAAATGTATTCATACTATAAAAGAACATAATACTGCTGTTAGAGGTGTTGGGTTTGATCAAGAAAATGGAGAGTATTTCATAACCGGTGGTAGAGATAATATTGTTGTTATTTATAATATTGAAAAGAAATATAAACCGGTTTTCACATATCCTATTAATGAACAAATTGAGGCTTGTGGATTTATTACTTTCAGAGGGAGACAATATTTCTATACTGGTGGTGCATCTAATATATTCAAATTATGGGATATTAAATCTGGTGAAGTGATTGCCCAATCTCCAACCCCATTGAAAACCAATGAAGAATTGTTAATCATCGATGTCATAAAAGTATCCAATGATGATATCTTCTTAGTCGTATCTGATCAAACAATCGTTCAGCTCGATTTATCATCCACAGACAACCAAGATATTCTTCCAATCACAAAACGTATCGCTGGTAACCACGGTATCATCGCCGATATCAAATACGTCGGCCCTTCATTCACCCGCTACGCCCTCGCCACCAACTCCCCTGCCCTCCGTATAATCAACCCCGACAAACCATTAGAACTAAAACTCTACGAAGGACACACCGACATCCTCAACGCCATCGACGTCAGTCAAGACGGGAAATGGATCGCCACCGCATCCAAAGACAACGAAGCCCGATTATGGAAATTCAACGACACCACGGAAGATTTCGAACCATATGCAAGATTCACCGGTCATGCCGGATCCGTCACTGCCATCTCAATCTCGAAATCAGATACAACCCCTCGTTTTATCATAACCGGATCCAGCGATCTCACCGTCAAGAAATGGAAAATCCCATCCATACCTAACCAAGTGGTAAAATCGGCAGAATATACAAGAAGAGCCCATGATAAGGACATAAACGCCCTCGATATCTCTCCTAATGATGAATTCTTCGCCACGGCCTCATATGATAAACTAGGCAAGATCTGGAATTGTGAAACCGGGGAAACTGTTGGTGTTTTAAGGGGACATAAACGTGGTCTTTGGGATATTAATTTTTATAAATTTGATAAATTGATCGTAACCGGTTCTGGAGATAAGACCATAAAAGTGTGGAGTTTGGTTGATTATTCGTGTAAGAAGACATTTGAAGGGCATACTAATTCGATCCAACGAGTTAGATTTTTTAATTCCCAATCACCACAATTGGTGAGTTGTGGTGCTGATGGATTGGTGAAGTTGTGGGACTATAAATCCGGAGAAGTTTTGAAAAGTTTGGATAATCATGAGAATAGGATTTGGGCAATGGAAATCAAGGGCGATGGAGAGGAGTTTGTGACTGCGGATGCGGATGGGAAGGTGAGTATATGGGAAGATAATACCGAGGAGGAGATTAAGCTTAGAGAAGTGATGAATAAAGAAAGAATTGAACAGGAACAGAATTTATCTAATTTTATTAAGAATAGAGATTGGGCAAATGCATTTTTGTTGGCTTTGACTTTAGATCATTCAATGAGGTTGTGTAATGTGCTTAAAGAAAGTATTTCATATAATGAAGATCCTGAATCACCAATCGGGTCCTTACAATTAGAATCTATCATTGGTAGTTTAGATAATGATCAAATTATGAAATTATTTAAAAAAATTAGAGATTGGAATGTTAATTTTAAATTATTTGAAATTAGTCAGAAATTATTAACAGTTATATTGAAGAGTTTTGCCGTGGAGAAGTTGATTGAGATTCCTGGGTTAATGAAGATTATTGATAGTATTATTCCTTATAATGAAAGACATTTTGTTAGAATTGATGATTTGATTGAACAAACTTATGTATTGGATTATGCTGTTGAACAAATGAATAAACTTATAGCTTAAGAGTTTAATTTGTATATTTGTATATTAGATAGTAATATAAACATTGCTTTATAGATTATATGGTGTGTAACCAGGATACGTTGTTCTATCCGCCAACTCGAAGGTAATTTGTAGAAACCCACAATATAAAATGCAACTGGCTGCGAAATACATAAAAATTAAATTTATAAACTCTTTACCGCCAACAAATTCATTACTTGATTTTTCATTTATCCACAAAATGACACCATCATCAATGACAACCAACAGACACAACTCAGTATGTCTCCCCCTGTCTACCTACCCCGCTCCAACCAACCACTATACTAACACCCAACAGATCACAGCTGAACAAATCAGACATAAGAAACAAAACAAACGTGGAATCAATTTCAACCTCCTAATAGCCGGCGACAACAACTTAGGAAAAAGAACCTTCATCAACACTCTCTGCATGAAGAAATGCTACCCCGAACCCTCCCCACCCCAATCCCCAACACCAACCACAACATCTCCCAATGAATTCAAAATCATCAAAAACTCATTCGGTACGTATCCCGCCCACTTCCCGCATCTCCCCAACCACATAAATACTAACACCCCTTCTCTAGAATACAACAGTCCAGGATCAATCCCAATCAAACTTCAAGTCTTCCTCACCCCCACCTCCCCCAACCATTCCCCCACCACGACCCCTATCCAACTCCAAAAATTCATCGAAGACCAATATAGGACCGTACTTCAAGAAGAACTAAAAATCAACCGAAACCCCACCCTTCCCGACCTGCGTATCCATGTTGCGTTATATTTCTTACGGGGGAACATAAAAGGATTATCGGTGTTTGATAGATTGATGATGCAGCATTTAGGACCTAGGGTTAATTTAGTGCCAGTGTTGGCGAAGGCGGATGGAATGACGAGGGTGGAGTGTGGGGAGGTGAAGAGGGTTGTGTTGGATGATATTGAGATGAGTGGGATAAAGATTTTTAAATTTGATGAGGGAGTGGGAGGAGAGGAGGAAGGGCATAGGGATGGGGATGGGGAGGAGGTTGAGTATGTGAGGTATTTGCAGTCATGTTTGCCATTTGCTGTTATTGGTGCTAATAATATTGAAGAGAGAGAGGATGGAGGTGAAGGTAAGAAGAAGTTAGTTAGAAGGAATAAGTTTGGTGATATTGATATTGAAGATGAAAGGATTTGTGATTTTAAATTATTAAAGAATATATTATTTGGAAGTCATTTACAAGAATTTAAAGATATTACAATTCATAATTTATATGAACAATTTAGAGCACAGGAGTTGTCGAAGCAAGCAACAACTACAACAATAACTGAATAGCTAGTCAAGTAAGTAAGTAACTTATTAAAATGTATAATTTATATATATAACAAACCTAATAATTAAAAAATATACAAAAAAGTAATAATTGTCTATATAACCATCCCCCTACTATTAAATAACATCACCATTCTTAAATTGTTTCCCCTTAACAAATTCCAACCCTTCACCACCATAAGAAGTCAAAGAACTAACTTCAACCACATCACCATTAGCAACAATTCCTCCGTGTTCCTTCACCCATCTAGTACCACGTTCAAGATAATGTTGTCTACAAGTAGTTGGAGTATCATTCTTAGCTCCATCAGCATTCTTCAATGGAGAAAATTCTTCCGATCTTTCAACTTCCATACATCCAAATTTTTCCAATTCAACCGATGGGAATACATCAAAGATAAATTGTTCTAATTTGATACCATTTGGTTCAGTAGGTTTATAGAATTGTTTAGTTTCTGGATTAATACTTGGGATCTTCTTTTTGGCAATATGGAATGGTAAGAATTCTTGTGATGATGTCCATTTAGGTATCATCTTAGTTAATAAATCAACTGAATAATAATGATTAACGATATTAGCAGCTCTTAAGAATAATTTATTTGGATCATTTGGTTCGGTTTTATTGGCTAATTCTGGTGAGATTTCACTATATTCAATAACACAAGGTTTTTTGATATCATCATCCAAAACAATTAATCCAACACTTTCATTAGCATCTCTTTTTCTAACTACTTTTGTAGCTAATTCAAATTGATTATCAATTGCAAATCCAAGGAATAATGGATCGGCAACTTTAACTAATGAATTATCAACACAATACATATGAATATGTTTGATGCCTTTATTAACGAAATCATCTATTATTCCATTAACTTGTAATGCTTTATATAATCCACCATTTCCATCTGGTGATTCACAATATTTATCTTTATCTTCTAATAAAATCTTAGATCCATCTAAATTAAAACATGGAATTTTACCTTGATCAAAGAAAACAACTTGTGTAGATTTCAATCCAAAGTAATTATTTTGTTTGAAAAATTTTTCAGTTGATGGTCTAGTTGGTCCACTTGTCATAATATACCAATTTATAATTGGAACTTCCGATAAACCAAACTTTTCTTTAGTTAAATTTTGAATTTTTAAAATCTTTTCACCTTGAATTTGAAATAATGATTTTGATGAAGGTAATTCAATATTAAAACACCCCTTTGGATCAGTTGAACCTAATCTAGTACCTTGACCACCAGCCATTAATAATACAGCAACTTCCCCCTTGGCAATAGCTTCAAAACCTAAATTTGACCATTTTGTTTTAGTTTCAGTATCTAAATCTAAAGTAGAAGCAGTTTGAGCTGGAGGTAATTGAGTTAATGATCTTGATGCAGAATTTGTTGAAGAAAATTTGATAGCTTTTTGAACAGTTGAAATTAATTTAGAAGGATTTTCAATTTTTGACAATTGTTTTAAGAATTCTTGTTGTTGTTCAATAGTTAAAGAATCATAAAATTCAAAAAGATGTTCTTGACCAGCAGTTTTAAATAAATCTATAATTGGAGATTCAGCAGGTATAGTCATTTTATTATTGTTGTTAATTTGTTGTGATATGCTTAAGGATGGAATATTGAAAATAAATAAGTGAATGGATGACAAAAAAATGAGGTAATATTAATCTTTAAAGGTATCCTTTAATATAAACTTGAGTGGGTTGGAATAAAATGAAAAATGAAAGTGAGTGTGAATTCGTATTATATTTATAAATTCAACGATTTTAAAGGGTTTGAAGAAATGTTCGTGGAATTAAAAATTGTTGTTCGATTAAAATTATTTTTGGTATAAATTTAATTAAAATTTGATTTTGTGTAAAAAATAATTTAATTAAATTACTATTTTTAAAACACACGAAATGAAAAACTTTTTTTCTATTTCCACTATATTGCGGTGTGTAATTTAAGGTTTGCGCCTAGTTTTTCACCCGGAGTATTCCTTCAAAAGCAATTCATTAGTCAAAAAAACCGTAGTCAGATCTGTCATGACTATTCCGTAAATGAATGGCTGTTAATTCTTTTTTTATTTGTTCTTAATATTTTATAAAACAGGCGGAGAAACAAATGACATCTGGTAAGGAGGTGTGTCAGTGGAGATTGTGTGATTAGTTCGATATCGATCCGTGTACTTATTCATAACCAAGCCGTTGTGTCTAGCTGTTTCTAAAAATAGCTTATACCTTCCTCACATTGTTAACTTGCTGTGTATTGTTTTTTGCTATGGGGTGGGACTGTATATAGACCATTACTGTTTTAGAATCAGGGGGTGGGCAGTGTGAATGTACACTTTTTAGTTTCATAGTTGTTTTGCAATATACAGTACCTGATACAATCATTTTCGTTATTGTGTTCAATAGCTGAAACATCATCATCCAATAAAACGATTCTCAACTGAAAATTTCACCTGTCAAAACGCGACACATAAATAGTAAAAACCCGTTTTGTGACATTCCCTGACTTCCAAATTTGGATTAAATCACTTTTGTTCTAACAATTGTGGCCTTTTGACTGGTAGTACTATATTATCCGTTTCTAAAAATAACACAAGAAGAAGAAATGTAATATCTCCTAGATAGCACGATTACAACCGATATCTTATCCCCTGTAACGGTCCTAAATCAAGGGGCTTTTTAACTTTTAAAATTAAGGTCCATTAGGGCAAATGTAGTTGCAAAGTAGTACTTCTGTCTATTTGATGAACTCCATTTCACCGAATTCGTTCAACGGCTGTCTATAAATGGAACACTTAAACTTGGAATCATCCTATTTTTCTTGGTATGAAAATGACCTATTCCTTTATTTCCTTCTCTGGTTGCTAAAAATTTGACAAAAATTTAGCAGATTTTCAACGTAAATTGACTGACCTAATATAAATCTGAAAACTTCCTTAAAATTGCCTTTTAAAATGCCAGCATCACCTTTACCGATACTGAGAATAGATTGTAATAATTACATTGGAATACACAATTTTTGGGTTAGCTTTTAGTTGTGTAAGTCCTTCATGTCCAAGGGTTTGACAACTTCATTTTTTTTGCAACACAATTTGATTGTTCTTAATTCAAGCTATTGAATAAACTGGGATACCAAAAACCAGAGTAAACGGATGAATGAAGCAGCAGATGAACTGATTGACTGCTTATCAGATAGAAATTTAATAAGATTACTCCTTTTGAAGTAGTATAAATAACTACTACCAGCCTTCTTTACAAACAAATCTTTTTTGGCAACCATCAAACAAATCAACAGAGAAATTGAATAACACTCCAATTTTGGTGAACATAACTATGTGAATACTTGAACAACTGAATATGATTTGAATCCTTTTGTTTTATCAACTTGAAGGCTTTCTCTTTGTTTAGCTGATTGACCTATTAATAGATCATTTGAATCTTTGAGGTTCTCACATTTCTTGGATTCTCTGAACGGCGATTAACTGGCTCTGATTCACTTGAACGTTAGTATCTTTTGTTTACTTACATTACCAATTAATATCCAACTAATTGTTAGAAGGAATTTGGATGATTTAAAATGAAATCATCTAATTCAGCTAAAGAGTAACAAAGTGAACAATAAAACAATATAAAAAGATTATTTTATTTAATCAACAATCAAACAATGAAAAATATTAAAATTATTTTATTATACTAAAAAATTATTTGCAGCAATAATTAATTAGCTGCAAAACTCACACACACACAGAAGAAAGAGCTTAACGAAAGAATACTAACAACTAAACAAGACACTCTCATATAAGATCAACCTATTAAACATAATTAATAGCTAAGATACCAACAATGATTGATAACAAAACACTTGGAACAAATAACTTATCACCAGCACTTGAATTACCCGATCCACTACCACCACTACCTCCACTACCACCATTTGAATCATCATCACTATCAACTTCATCAGAACTAAATGCTTCTGATTTTTGAGCTGCACATTCATAATTATGACCTTGAATATCTCCTCTATCATGTAATTCATCAAATGCATCACAATTAAAATCTTCATCAGTTGAAGTCATCATGAAATCTCCATCGACTCTTTCTAAACTTGGCATTTCTAAAGTTTCAAATACACCAGTAATACTAACTGCACCTCTAACTCTTCTTAATGAAGTAAATGTATTATTCATATCTTCTAAAGCAGTATTATTAAACATTTTAAATTCACCAGAAATTTCAGTTAAATTATTAACGGATAAATCAGTTAAATCATCATTAGCAAAGATTTGTAATGATGTACCAACATTAGTTAAAGAATCTAAATCTAATGATTCAAAAGTATTAAAACTTAAACTTAATGAACCATTAACATTAGTCAAATTCTTAAGACTAACACCAGCAACATCTTGAATTGTTAAATTAGCAGCCCAAATTAATTCATCCATTTCAACTATAGCATTATCATGATTAAATGATAAAATCAAATTTTCAGTAACTGTCTTTAAATTACCAAAATTTAATCTTGTAATATTCTTATTATTATTAATATTCATATTATGAATATTTTCAAATCCATTAAAACCATTTATATCACTTAAAGCAGTATCTGACAAAACAACTTTTTCAATACTATACATTTCAGAATTTAAACCCAAAACTTCCAAAGAAGGTAAACTAACCAATTGTAAATCCTTAGAAATATTCAAGGCAGGTAATTGAACATTCACCAATCTAGTCATATTCTGCATCTTCAAAGCACCAGTAATATTAGCCAACAGTAAGAAATTAACATTCAAAATCGTGGGGGAGTTAATCACAGTTAAACTACCCTCTAATTGTCTAATACCTGGTAAATCAAGTATTTCAATCTCAGAACCACTAATTGTAATATCACCATCTAATGTAGCACATGAGTTGATTTCTTGAACTCCGGTGGATTGAGTAATGGTGGTTCTACTGAATGAACATGGGTTTCTGTTGGAGGTGGCAGTGGTACTGCTGGATTCATCGTCGTCGTCGGCATGGACGAGGGATAAGGAGGTTATAAGTCCAATAAGTAATGGAGCTAATTTCATTATGGATAAAGCTAACAGGAAGACAATAAAAAGAAAAACTAATTAAAAAAGAAGAAACAATGGTAAAGAAAGAAAATAAATAAAAACTGGGAATTCGTTTATAAAATTTGTTGTTGTTGTCGTTAGTCGCTAAGATGAATCAGAAAATGAAAAATAAGGGAGGAAGTGGAAGTGGGAAGAAAATATTTGAAGAAAATCGTATAAATGTAGAAAAGCTTAACTTTTTCTTTCTTTCTTTCTTCTCCACTATGGCCTATTAACTTTACTTCAGTTTAAAAAAAAGGAAATTCATACAAATATGATCTAATTATAATTTATTTTTAGACCAAACACCAAAACAATAGAATTTTTCATTCGCTTAACATTGAAAAAATAAAATATTTTTTGTCTCATTTTTTTCAAAAATATCCCACCACAATTGCAATTTCTACACCTACCCACATGTTATACAAACAAACTATAAATAATAATTGGCATATCATAAAAATCCACCATCCCAATTCCACGGATTTGAAAAAAATTTGTATACCAATACATTTTAGTTTTACCATTTTTTTTGAGCCCCGGGCTTATTTGGATCACTGCCAAAAGGTTTTTTTGAAAGGGGTACTATGCTGGCTGGATTAAAATCAAAACAACTTCCAAGAATTTCTACCGAATTCTCGAGTTGCATTTTTATTTTCACTCATTCTCTCTTTTGCTCGTTCTTCTGAATCGTTTATATACGGTATGTGTGTTTCATAGAATATACACATTCCAGAACCTGGTTTACTAATCAAAAGAACACACCCAAGCCCAATGCCGTTTTCACAAAACGGTTAATCTTAGACAGATTATTCTCCTCAGAAAAGAAGAAAAAGAGGGAATATTGAAATAGCTCCGCTTTCAATCATCTGGTTTAAATTTAGAAAATTAAGGTTTTTTGCATTTAAGTTTAAAAAATCAACAAAATCATTGTATTAAACTTTTTCACCGCGATGGATGTATGTTTTCACCCAAGCTCTTCTCATGTCTAGATCAAAGACAAACTCCAGTCATCACAAATCTCGTAACCAAACCAGAATTGGATTGGAAGTATGGCTATGTTGTGCCATGCCAATACTTTTCGAAGCAGTTTTATTTTATGCGCTTGGATGTTGTTCTTGGTTGATCCATGTATTTAAAGCTAAGAAAAATTCCAAAATACCCAGGAATCAAGAATGGATCATAAAATGGAACGCTAATCTTCTCTCTGGATTGGAAATTTCGAACTTAGATTGTGAGCCCTGTTTGAAACCTGACTGGTCCCAAAGAACTGCAATGTAAATATGATTTCAAATCAATTGTCACTCCCTAGGAGCTGATACTTATTTTGATTTAGGTCTTGATTGTGCATATTGGTATGTCAGTCGACACGATGGCCTTGGGTTCTAGCTAACCAAAGATTTTTTACCAGTCCAAAATTTCCCATGTTATCCCTGAGAATGCCAGGTTCAAATTCATTCACATTGGGACCGTTTCTTAGATTGCATTTAACTATTTGTTTATCCCCTAACAGAGGTTACAAATTATGCTTGGTAGGATCTCTACTACCAAAAGTTAAGAGCTTCCAGACGACTGTAGCTCTGAGTAAATCCCATGAGTCTTGAAGCAAGAACTTACACTATTACACTTTTTTTGGTGCCTTGCTAGATACTACCATTCGTAGTAGTTTCTGATTGTAGAACATGAATGAGAAGAGGTAGGAATGTACCTGAAATCAAGATTTAAGTCAACACGAGCATTCTTGCCAACTGCCACGATTAGTTGTATTTCTAATCAGTTCCTTCGTGATAAAGATGCAGATGTTAAAACTTGATTTAAGGTTTATTCAAACTGTATTAAAGCTGTGAATGTATTCCACTATTACCTGTCTTAAAGAATACTTATCCATTGAATTTCTAACGAATTAAAGCAATATTTGATCAATCAACACGTATGCATTTGGTATGCAAGTAATTTAAAACACATTCCTTGTCATACCATATTATATTGCGATGCAGGGGCCTGGTTCATAGATCTGTTCTAGATCATTCCATTGACAAATTATGGCTGGATCGATTTTGGAATTTAGTCTAATTTAGTAGTGACATTGAACTTATGTTAAAAAGTTCAACCCTCTGTCCCTTCTTGTCTAACCATCTCGAAAAATGAATATGAATTTAATCATATTGGGAGATATTCATGATGGGTACATTTAGTAGCTAATCTATATTGAAGTATTAATGGAACTCTTGTTTTAGAACTTTCTTGTAGAACCGATACGAAAGTTAGTGAATTATATATTTCTAGTCAATCATATAGAATTGATGAGGAATGAATCAAACTTGAAGAAATACACTATAAGATTCAAATTCAACTTAGTCTTTATCAATTATATATGATTCAAATAGAAATAAATAACAGACTAGGCTTTCAAAATAGGCGCAGTTTTCTTTGATTTGATTGGCTAACCGACCCCTAGATTATTCTGAAAACATCCAGCTTATTCAATTTATCTTTGTGGTTGATTTATGAATGGTATTGATAAAGAAGAGAGTTGTTGAAATTTCATGTAGAAATAATGAGCAAAGTGTCATGAGGATTTATCGACTGATTTGTGAATGCATTTGGCTGCAAATATCTGTAAGACATTAAAACATAATAAATTCAAATATTTTTTATGCGCAGAAACCCACATTTATTTTTTGGTATTTCGACCAATAATAAAATAATCATCTTATTGAAAAAGTTTGCAAACATTACTTTTGATGATTAGTTTAGGAAATCAAGGTAATAGAAGCTGACCACATTTCTTACTAAGCTGGGAGGGATTCAAAATAAAATTATTAAGTGTGAATGTCTCTTCACGAACAAACTCCTGCAGCTAAAATGCTCGCTACCTCTAATTCTCCTATTCTAGAATCTTACCCCATGGTTCGATTTAAAACAATAACGCTTTGTTTTAGCCTTATATTTTCTCTTGCATTATATGAACAATTCAAAAGATACAGGGGGGAGGAAGTAACTCTTGTTTGAAGTTTGCAATGCTTATTGTTGTACTTGGAATTTAAACATCTCAAACAAAGACAAAGTTTATGTAAAAGACCTTTCTCGAAACAAATGAATCTTGTTACAAGTGTCAAACTGGAGAATGATCTGACAATACACACACATCTGTAATAGTAATACATTTTTCCTAATTGGGGTTGACATGGCGAAACAAAGAATATGAGGTGTATTGATTGATTACGTAGAGTGCCAAAAAAAAAAGAACGCGTCTGAATAAGATGTAATTAAATGCATATCTGATTTACAGTATTGAATATGGTTGGTCTCTTCATTAATAGAACCCATACTGTCATGTGATAAGACTATACTGTATATTACCAGAACATGGCTATGTCTTGTGCAACGGTAGATACAATATGGCTAAGAAATTTAATTGGCTATTCAGTTAAAAGATGAAATGAAATTTTGGTATTTCCTAAAATGGACAAATTAAAATAAAACAAAAATGTAAACAAACAATTTCTTCTGCTTTTTTAAATTTTGGTTGCCATTTTTTTTTTTACAACCAAAATATACGAATCTCTTCTTGTTATTTCACTTTACAACCATCATCTAGACATCTACATTTGTTTAAGACAAGGTGGACATAAGAGAAGAGAAGGCAAAAGAGGACAATGTCAGCAACAGTGAGGATAATTATTGATGAATCACAAGGATTAATTGAACGAGTTAGTCCATCAGCAACTCATCAAGATTTATTTAAACATGAAAATGAATCAGTAGATTTATTATTAAAAGAAATGAATTTAGATCCAAATTTAATAGCAACTGATGATACATCTTCTATATTCAATTCACCAACTAAACCTTTGAATTTCCCCAGAGTTAATTCAAAACCAATACTTTCTACTAAAGAGAACTCCAGTTCTGATACTTATGCCAGTGATGATGAACAACAACAACAGCAACAAGCAAATCAAGATCAATGCAAGAATTCGTTTGATCGAAATTTCGATTTTGATCATTCAATCGAGGTTCAGAAAACAATTGCTAATAATGATAGTGATGAATTTTTATTTCATACCCCAAAAACTTCAACGGTTAATTTATTAGAAAAGACTAAAAGTAATAACAGTTCTCATGATATTTATAGTCAATCTCCAAGTAAATCCATTATGAAAAAGTCAAATAGTCAATCACCTTCAAAATCGGTTGCATTTATGAATTCTTCACCTCAAATACATCAATATACTGATGATTCTGAAACTTCAAACATTGATCAGGAAGTACAACAGCAGGAACCAATTAATAATGAATGGAACCAAGTTGAACAACAAGAAGGCGAAAGTAGTGACAATTCAATCCCACCTACACCCCCACCACATAAATCTAATACATATGCCGAATTACTTAATGATCAACAAGTCAATGATAAATTAACTCAAATTCCTGATTTGAAATTAAAACAAAATGATTTTAATAAATTATCCCTTGATGAAAAATTAGATTTATATCTTTCAAAGCAAGATACCAGTATCAATAGTGATGTCGAATCTAAAGCATACAATTCAGATATGGACAATCATTTAAATCAATTGGAAGAAGCTGCTAAATTTAAAACTAATGACAATATAGCTGATTTATCCTTGTCCATACAAATCCCACAATCTGATAATATTGAAAATCCATTAGATTCATTAGCTCAAGTTAAATTACTTTCTCATTCAGGTTCATCACAATCTTCATTACAATCCTTAAGAGATGATAATCGAAAACTAGAATCTACCCGAGAGCAACCAACCAGCAATGCCGGACTTGCATTAAATGACGGAATAAAAGGGTTATCAGATGATCTTGTTGAATCACTACTCCCAGTGCCACATCCAACTGAAGTCATAACTAACTCTCCATCATTTGGAATCTCAGAACAGGATGATGATTCGTCATTTGATAAATCATACAATCATACTGAACAATCAATTATGGATTTATTGAATACTGGAGGATCATCTTGTCGTAGTTTGGCTAATGATGGAATTGAAGTTGAAGAACCTATTGAAACTGATTTACAAGAATCTGAGAACATTTCAGAAACTACTGAAAAGGTAGAAGGTCCGGTTCAAATTAAGCAAGAGGAAGAAGAAACTATACCAATTCAAGTCAAACAAGAAATGGAACCTATGGTCAAACAAGAACCTACCGATATTGAAATCAAACAAGAATCCAGAGCTCATGTATCAGAATTTAATGGACTTACCCCACAACAAGAAATAGAACAAATCTTGGCACAAAAGAAGTCCCAACAAGTTGAAGAATCAGACGAGTCAACGATATCACAAGAATCTACCAAGATGTCAATTAGATTCCATATGGACAGTGATTGGAAATTAGAAGATAGTCATGATGGAGATCGTGAAGATAATGATGAATCACAAATGGATATAACTGGAGGCAGTATTAAATCATCAGTACTTGAATTAGATGAGATTAAGACTTTGGAACCACCTAGAATTAATCAAGCTATTGAGGTAACGAATAGTCCAACTGGAGATATTTCGACAAATGAAACTGATGCCTTGGCAAATTCATCTAATATTGCCCCACCTGAAGAAATCACATTACCTATTGTTCAACCAACCACCCAAACCTCATTAATTGACGAAATGGTTAAATCTATTCAGAATGGAGTGAATGCAAAGTCATATGAAGATTTATTCTCAGCTGAGAATGATGAAGAAAAACCACCAGTTGATTTTATTTCCATTTGGCATACTCAAGAAAGGAAAAAGAGACATACTAGTTTACGATTAACTCAAAGTGCTGAAGAATTGAAAACTATCACCAATAATGCTCCTGTTGTAAATACCAATGACAATGCGTATATCAGTAACAGAATCAAACTTCCAAGTTATATGAAACCAACCAAGAAATTCAAAGAAGTTAACGTAATGTCAAGAAGAGTAGTTAGTCCAGGATATGAAGACTTATCCAATGTTTCCCATTTCTTGCCTGAATTATCTGATGATTCCGGATTTGAAAATATGAATTTCTATGCTACGAATATTGGAACCCGTTCACAAGATTTCTTAACCAATATCGACAATGATCCAAATATTCTCGAACCACCTCCTCAACAACCATCACAACCACTAATCAAGACTAATCGAGCAATTCGAACCGCTCAGAAATTAGCAGCATCCCAGAGTTTGAATCCAACCTCAATAACACCACCAACTACCCTAAAACCAAGACCACCTCCAATATCCACCACCAACCCATTCAGATCAAGATTCAGAGTCCCCACATTTGAAATCAAAAGAACTGGTTCTATATTATCACCAAAAGATCAATATTATCAAGAATTATATTCCGACATTTCCGGTATCGGAGCACCTTCACCTACAATCAAAGCACCAGGAATGAAGACATTACCAAGCATGGACAGGGACGATGTTAAGAAGATCTTAAGCACCAAAAGAGTGATCACCCAGGAAGAATACACCAAGGTGAAACTTGTGAATCAACCACTAGAACAAAGGAATTCGATCGTGGAGGAACCACCTGTGGGGAAGTTTGAGAATATTCTGAGGGTGGCTAGTATTTATGAAATGAATGACGATACGAGAGCCGATGAAGAAGAAGAAGGTGATGGCGAGATGCCTTATTTTGTTGATGAGTTGAAGAAATCGCCTATTCCCTTATTATCCCAAGAACAATTATTTCCGGAAAGGAGAGTAGATTCAGTAGTGGTGCATAAGAAGGAAGAAATGACTCCTTCTCCAGTAGTTTCGGAATTTGATAGCGATGTAACCATAGCTGCGAAACGTAATAATCCGTTCAGGGTGACTAAAATAAATACTCCTGAGATTGTTCAAGAAGCTAATACTTCAAGATCAATTTCGCCAACTAAGAAAGCTCCAATTAAGATTGGAACTCCTGTGAAATTGAAGAAACATAATGGGTTTGTTACTGGTATTGAGCTTGAGAAAACTTTTAGTAGAACTGGAAGTGATTTTAATGGTGATGAACTCATAAATGGAAAATTAAGAAATAATCAATCCAAAGTCAACCAAGCCAATGATCTGCTAGTAGCAGCACCACCTGCACCACATCAACCATCTGCAATCAGTGATAATAGTGGTGTTACCGCTGTTACTGAAACTGAACCAAATGTCGACTTGACCAAGATTGCATCCACCGAACCTAGATCCGCCCCACCTCCACCACCACTCGAAAGAGGAAGATTATTCTTCAGGTTAGTAGGAGTGAAGAATATCAATTTACCCGATCTAACTTCCACTCAAATAAATGCCACATTTTCAATCATATTAGATAATGGAGTTCATTGTATCCAAACCCCAGAATATGGATTAAATTCCACCCAAGTCTCAATCGGAAAAGAATTCGAATTAATCGTCGGAGGATCCTCATTAGAATTCATAATCACCATGAAATCAAACTATGAACCCAAACCAAGAACAAAACTAGTTGAAGTCACCGAACAAAAACTCCTCAAACCCAAGAAGAGATTATCTCGTCTCTTTGGCACCAAAGAACTCGTCACTACCACCAAAGTCGTCCCACAAGAAGTTCGAGACCCTTGGAGAAATAAATTCGCCCCCGATGGGTCATTTGCAAGGTGTTATATCGATTTATCTCAATATGAACCAAAAATCACCGGTCGGGCACAATATTTTGATTTGAATTGTTTTAATGAATGGGAAACCTCGGTGGATTCGAAATATCCCGACAAAACCTTTAAAGTGAAACCATACCGTATTGCACAATTAGAAGTTGAGATGTTGTTTATTCCAAGAACTGAAAGGATGGAAGTCTTGCCTATGTCGATCAAAACCGCTTATGAGAGTGTGAATGAACTAAAAGTGGAATTGAATACTGAGTATGAAGGGTTTTTGTATCAAGAAGGAGGAGATTGTGAGATTTGGAAAAGACGGTGGTTTAGATTACAGAATGGAACTGAATTGATTGCGCATAGTGAATATTCAAGAAAGACTAGGGCCAAAATTAATTTGAATAAGATTGTCGATGTTATTTATGTAGATAAAGAGAATATGAATGATGGGGGTTCAAAGAAGAATTATCGTGATTTTAGTGATGTTTTGTTATTGGATCATGCGTTTAAGATTGTGTTTGCCAATGGAGAGATTATTGATTTTGGTGCTCCTAATAAGGAAGAAAAGAGGAATTGGGTTGAGATTTTGGAACTGATTGTGTATAGAAATTATTTCCGGAGACAGCCTTGGGTCCAATTGATGGTGGAAGCTAATGGTGTCAAGAAGAGTATGGTTTAATGAAACGATATGTTTTTATTATTATTATTTGTTAGTTTATGTAGACGTTTTTGTATTTAATGTTATATTACGATATTACTGACGTGACTACATCTGTAAGAGCTCTGCTTCTGACATAATTCGTATATATATTCCCCAAGCTAACTAACTACTCTAAGAAATCTTTATTTAAATAAATTTCCATTTCCAAATCAGGTTGAAATTCAGTATATAAAGTTTCAGGATCCCCATCATGATATTCACAATACTTTGCCTCTTCATCCCCAATAATCTTCAACTCTTCACCCGGTCTCAATGCAGCCTGAGCAACCAACTGAACCTGACAACTCTTCTCCAACAATGAAAACAAATATGCCGCCTCATCAACAGTATTCCCCACGGTCAACAATCCATGATTTTGCATAATAACCCCTTTCCCAGTCTCACCAATCGCTGCCGCAATCTTCACCCCTTCTTCAGCTTCCAAAGCAACCCCGCCAAAATCAGTATACACATCATGACTATTGTAAAAAGTACACACATCCTGATTAATCATATCCAACTTCCTGCCCATGGCTGCCCAGGCTTTTCCATAAGTCGAATGACAATGACAAGCAGCATTCACATCTGGTCTAGCTTTATGAATCGCCGAATGAATAGCAAACCCCGCCGCATTGATCGCAACCTGATTCCCATCAGGCAAGACATTCCCCTCTTCATCGACATGTACCAAATCACTAGCTTTGATCAATCCGAAATGTTTCCCCAATGGGTTGATCCAGAATGTGGTAGGGTCGACAGGATCACGAATGGAGATGTGACCGGCAGTACCTTCGGTGTATCCTTTGCGGGCGAAGACTCGGAAAGCGCCGGCCATGTGTTGGAGGGCCCATTTACGTTCTTCGTGTTTGTTGGTGAATTGGGGGAGTTGATAGGGGTGTTGGCCACCTTTTGCGATGTTGTGAGAACCACGGGAGCCCATTTGATATCCCCTGGATGTAGAGGTGGCTGAGATTGTCGTTGTTGGAGCCGTTTCTGTTGTTGTGAGTGTTGGTGGTGTCATTATTGGATAGTGGAAGAAGTGGAAAGTAGTGGAAAGAGATGGGATATTAGAGATATGAAGGTATATTTATATTAGAAGAAGATGGCATTCCAAATTAGGAAGTATGCGATAAGGAAAAAAAAAACTGGCACAATCGTAAATGGAAGTGCAATGCGACCCATTTGGGAAAATGCGACATGTCGCTTATGTGACCTAATTAGGTTTAGTATGAAGTAGTATGAACCTAACAAAGTTTGGCGATATCCTATAAGGATAAAGAATGCGGAATGTATGAAAAGGGGAAGAGCAACATACATCTTATAGTACAATGCCATTTACATGCTAAAGGAGGAGAATTAGTATTTGGGGTATTCCAATATCATTTCTTGCTTACAAATCACTCTGCCCGGGGTGGGTTCGGTGATTGGCGAATCTTATGGGCCCAATTGACCACTTGGAATGGAGGTAAAGAACTGGCCGAGTTCGTCAACGGAAGGATGTCAGCATACATATATTCATAATTTTTAATTAGTTGAGCCACTTTTCGCAGTCAAAGCCCGTGACATAAACGGCATCAACCTGACAAGATTGTCATCAAATTTAGACAATGGTTCACAGTGATGAGAGAACAATGAATGCTATTTGTAGTTCATCGTTTTCTTTGATAAGCTAAATTTGAAGACTGCCCGGGGAGGTGAGTCTACCAGAGACCGAGCTCGAAGGATAATATCAAGATTGATGTCGTTGGTCCAAAAGCTACTTCTCCTGAAAGCTTCAGCTCTTAGATCGACCCCACTCCTTGAACAAAGCTATGTCAAACTTCTTTCGGATAATGCCGACTCCGGGTTATTCTTGGTTCACATGCATATATGTCACGTATTAACAAATTCTTAGGTTCCCTTTGGCTTATTCACCGGTGAACTAATTGATTGTGTAAATAAAAGAAAAACAACGAAATCTCCAGATCTGATAGCCAATCGAAGTTTGTGACTCTGATTTAATGAGAGATAAATTTCTATCGCTTCATTTTAGTGCAAAATTTTTGCAATTTTATAAATTACTTACTTTGGTTATGAACTTATACCTCTTAACAGATCAACCAATCAATTAAGTGAATTAAGAAATTCAAAATATTTTTTATGGGCAAATACTAGGACAATGACAGAGGCATAGAATTATCATTATCAAACAGGCATATGACGATCATCTTCTTTGTTTATAGTCAATTATACCGAAATTATACCGAATTATAAGTCGTTTATTAAATTCTCCGGGGCGTGCTAAGCGCATATTGTATTATCAGTTTGTTGAGATTATTGAATAATACACATTGGAAGGTATAACCGAAGATATGCGTAAAAGCTTATTCTAATAAATATTTTATAATTCGTTAATGTGGTGTTCTAGAAAGAACTAAGGAAGAACCGGAGAAGAAGAAGAAGAAGAAGAAGAAGAAGAAAAAGAAGAAGAAGTGGAACGTGTAAGTCATATAAGTTATTCTAGAAATATAACATATGATCTATAAAATAATTAATTATTTAATGAAATAATTGATGAAAATATTATGAGATTTACAATTAATTATATAGAGTAATTAATTTAATAGAGAGAGGAGAATGAATGAACGTGATGATTAAGTAGTTACAAAACCTTAATCTTCTAACCAAGTAAGAATACGAGAAGAATGTCATTTCTGAAAGTATAATTACATCATTAACATCATAATCTCTTTAAAATAAAAGTCATTTACTAAGATTTGGTTAATCAATAATTTATTACTAATCTTTAAAAGAAACTCATATTGGTTATTTTATAACTTTCGGTTTTTCCTCCTCCTATTAGTTTTAAGAGAAAAAAGTCACTATTGACAAGTGACATGTTTAGATTGCTTGATAAATAATAATGACTTTGTACACTAAAAGCGATAGAAAATATTATTATCACGTTTTTGTGAATTGACTTCTATTGTTATTCAATGTGTCTGATTGATTGTCCATTGTCATGGGGATTTAAGGGATTCTCCTTTTCATTCAACTTCGTCTTCGTCTTCTTTTTCTTCCTTCCTTTCATTCATTCTATCTATCTTTCTTTATATAATTAACAAAAGGGAAATCTTATAATAAGAGAAGATACAGAAGAATTTCAACATCTGATTTCATTTACTTAAAACCATAAATCTTAAATCTTAAATTAAATATTTTTTCTGTGATTTTTTTCCTTTACGTTGAAAGAATAAATTATCAAGAAATAATAAACTATGACTGATATAATTAATACTAATACTACCAACACTGGTAATACTAATACCCTATCCAAAAAGAGAGTTAGAAGATTACCACCAGATAAAAGACAAAAAGTATCAACTGCATGTGACTCTTGTAAAAAGAGAAAATTTAAATGTTCCGGGGAAAATCCATGTCAATTATGTACCAAGAAAGGTTTACCATGCAGTTATACCATTATTGACAAAAGATCACTTAAGAGTGAACGTATGGCTCAATTAAAACAACAACAAAGAGACCAACATCATCACCATGCAAATCCATTAGATTTCAGTAGAACTGAAGATGATCAATATTCTCAATCACTGGTATCCCCTAATTCAGTTGTTTCTTCCCAAATTAGTCCTCCATTTAGAGGTCCAGGTTCAATTACTCCTTCCTTACAAGACCCCCAACAACAACAGCAACAACAACAACCACAGCAACCTCAACAATATCAAATGGCTTATAACGTTCCTGCTTATCCACCACCTGTTGGGGGTCAAAGTTATCCTCCACATTCTTACCAGCCACAGCAACAACAGCAACATGTGCCACCTGCACCTCCGCCTGCGCCACATCATCACCAACAGCAACAACAACAATATGGACAACAGCCACCACCGTTCCCATACCCTAACCAATACCCACCACCACATCAGCAAGCACCGTATCAATCGGGCCCACCACCTCCACCACCTCCAATGGGAATGCCTCACGGGTATGATTATAGAAATCAACAACAACAACCCGGTTTACCTCCTCCCCGTGCTGGTAGTTTGCAACCAATGAATCCTCACTATGCCCAACCAGGCATGCCACACCCGCCACCACCCCAACAACAACATGCCAGTGCTAGTTCTATTGGACATCAACTCCCACCTCCTCCACCATCAGGATTCTCACCACAACTGTATACCAGTGTATCTAGCATGCACGCAACCCCTAGTTCAACATTACTCCCACCTGGTGAAACCAAACAACATGGAATCCTTACTCCTGAAACCACGCCTAATGATTCACTGACTAGTCCAAATCATTATATCCCAAAATCACTCCAACCATTGCTTTCATTCCCCATAGTTGCAAACCCCGTCGAAACTGATACTCAAGAAAACGACGACGAAGAAGAGGAAGAGAGTAGTAGCGGTAGTGGGGATGATAATGCTACCATCAAGAAAGAAAAAGATTCGAAATCAGGCGTGTCTAACCAAATGGGTAGATCAGTTATTTTATTAAATGACAAATCTGGTACGTTTCGATATATGGGAGAAACCAGTCCCCTTTCACTCCTTTATGAGGCCAGAAATATATTTGTTCAATATGTAGGCACCACCAAATTAACCGAAGATCTTCGTGGTTGTCCCGTGATTGATAAACCCCTCCCAATAAAATCCCACATTTCCGTCCAATTACCCAGTGTTGAACAACGAGATATATATGTGGATGAATTTAGCAGAAACATAAATGATACTTTTTATATTTTTGACATGAAGAAATTCAGGATTGAGATTGTGGATGCTGTATATCAAGACCCTATGAATGAGAAGAATAAAATCATGATGATATTGTTATATTTCGTCCTAGCTATCGGGGCGACCTATTCTGATTTCGCTCAGGGGAAACCGGCTGCCATAACGGGTGCGGCATATTTCGAAAGTGGATTGAATTTATTGAGGGATGTGGTTGAGGATTCGGAAATGTGGGTGGTAATTGCTCATTATTTGCAATTTCATTATTATCAGGCGATATTGAAGAAGAGTACGGCTTGGATTCATTTGAATTTGGCGATTAAATATGCTCAATCATTGGGATTACATCGAAGTTTTGTAAATGAACAATTTTCAAAAATGTCGGAAGAGACTGAATATAGGAAACGGTTATTTAGGAGTTTGTATACTTCTGATAGAATTTCACTGACTTTTATTGGAAGACCATTGACTATAAATGATTATGATTGGGATGATCCTTGTCGTATGGTGAATCCGAACCCAAGTATGGAATTGTTTCCAACTTCTAGAATGGATTTTGATTATAATGCAAGGTGTCAAATTGAATTAAGTAAAATATGTACCATGATTGGGAAAATCGTTAGTAATTTCTATCGTGACAGAATTATTGATCTTAATCGTACCAAGAAACTAATTATTGATTTGAGATTATGGTCCAAGAATCTTGATCCTCAATTATCGTTAGATAATATATTAAAACCAGATGATATACCGAATAATACCCATGGAGAAAATACTCAAATCTTATTAATGACTCATTTATTACAATTATATTCAATCATGTTATTAAGTCGTCCATTCTTTATGTATAATGCAGTCACACTTATAAATTCCGATTTAGCAAAATCAAAAATCCAAGATGAAAAACTCACACAAGAATTCTGTCATGCTGCTACAAAATCATCAATCCTTGCTGTGAAATTAATGAATCATTATATGAATACCGCATTTAAACAAACTAAACGAATGGAATGTTATATTATCATAACTTGTTGTTTCTATTCTTCAATTGTCATCGGTGTAACAATCTTAAGTGGAGGCTTTGAACAAGAAGGATATACCGAAAATGATTTGGTAGATTTGTTACGTAATACCGAATATATCTTAAATCATTATTCAAAATGCAACAAAGGTGCAGAAAGGTATGCAGAAATAACTCATGATATGATAAATGCATTAGTCAATCGTCACAACAAGCCTAAATTAGAAGACTCCAGAGAGGATAGTATTATGCCCAAGAGTGATTCGGATGAAGATATTGATTATCGATTATTAAATGATTTTAATTTCTTGGATGATCCTAATGATAATTTACAAAGCTTGATTGAATTTCAACAATTCTTTGTCGCTCAAGATATTGCAAGTACTCTGTCGGGTGGTAGTGGTAGTGGTGATGGAACAAGTATGCCATATGATTATGGGAATTATGAATTGTTTTTCGGTGATAAGTATTAGTTAGTTAACGTGTGTTTTTAGTTCTTCCTTTTTAATGTGTTTTTTACGTTTTGTTTGTTCTTCTGTTTTAGTAATGTCTTACTAGTTAGTTATAGTTTTATAATATATTTATTGACCACAGTAAGTTCAACTTTATAAAGTTCACTAAATTGATTCCTTTGGGCCAAGAGCTACCATGTGGAATGAATAATTTATCGAGCTACCATGTGTTTGATCCGCGGGTGAAAAAAAATTAAAAAATAATTTTGAATCCCAGGGCCCACAGTTCCCTCTTTCCTGATTTGGAAAAACTCCTTATAGACAGTTTATTCTTTCTCTAAAGGTAAGAAGCCTTCTTCATATTCAGCAAAGATGAAAGTCTTGTGGTTGTATTTCATTGCACAATTCCTCCACTTCACAACCGCATCCCCCGGTGACGACCTATACGCATTCACCGATTGTATCTATCAATGCACCCAACTCACTTGCAAGAACAATCCATACCACATATTCCAAGAAGAACATCATGAAATACTCTCCAAGAACAAAAACTACGAATTCAAATATTACAATTCTAATTGGAGATTCGATCGCATGCCCCTTCCGCTCCATCTTCGCCTATTAGGGTGGAATTGTGATCTGAATTGTGATTATCAATGTCAAAGAATCATCACGGCGGAACGCAAAAGTCGAAATGAAGAGATTTATCAATTTCATGGAAAATGGCCATTTTGGCGAGTATTGGGCATTCAAGAATTCTTTAGCGTTTTAATGTCATTGGGAAATCTATCGGCGACATATCTTGGGTTTAAGAAATTGGTGAGAATAATTAAACTGGATAATGTTCCCAGGGGATTGAAATATCAATACGTGAATGTGATGATTTTGGCGGTGGTGACGATGTTTGCCTGGTTGTTTTCAACAATATTTCATATTCGTGATTATCCAATCACGGAACATCTTGATTATTATTTCGCGGGTTTAACTGTTCTTTCTGGATTTCATGCCTTGGGTGCCAGATTGTTTAGATTGTATCGCCCAGATCGGAAATTTGCCAGGTGGGGGTTTAGTATATGTTGTATCGGGATGTATGCATATCATGTTAGGAGATTATATACCGATTGGTCATACACGTATAACATGAGGGCTAATATTGTGGTTGGAATTGCTCAGAATGTATTTTATGGATTATTGTGTTATGATTTATATTCGAAATATTATAATCTTGAACAAGCTAACAATCTGGTGAATTTGAATCATTTGAATTATATAAATTTCAAAAGATTAATCTTACCTAGTTTTTATTCCACAAGTGCTAAGCTTTATTCATTATATCCTTTGTTATTATGTATGATTGTTATATTAGGTATGTCGTTTGAAGTGTTTGATTTCCCACCGTTTTTCTTTGATTTGATAGATGCTCATAGTTTATGGCATTTGGTTACAATATTCCCGACATATATGGGATGGCATGATTGGATGATTTGGGATATTAATGAGAATGTATGGAGTGAAATTGTAGAATTAGAAAAGAAGAAGAAGGAATAGATTTGTTTATATATTTGTTTATTATGTATTTAGTTAATATCTATGTATTACTTACTCATCGTCATCATCTTCTTGAGGTGGGACATATGCAGGTGGTTTGAAATATTCTTGATCTTCTTCAACCATCGTCTTAAAATGATCCTTATCATCAACATATTGATACAAATATTCCAATTCCAAATCATGTACCTGTCTACCCAACATAACCAACGAATGCAAAGGTTCTCCAGAATCATACTCACTTAATTCCTGTAATGTCCCAGCTTTAAATGCTTGTTTTGGTGACCCCAATCTCGAAATAGCCACACACGGAGTATTTGGAGTATACGCCTTCTCTTGTCTCACCTCCTCAATCTCCAACAATTGTTGACAAGCAGTCGCGATATCCATATATCTAGGCGGTTCATAAATCAACCTCCCCCTAGCCATATTCTCAATACTTTGTTCTTTCACCTTAATATCCAATAATAACAAAGTATGTAATCCGATTCTTCTATTTTCCATCACCTTATTATAAAAACTATCAGGTTTCCAGGTCTCAGTAAAGAAAACCAAACTAACAGTCTGACCAAAATTATACAATTGTAACCCACAAGCACCCACCGCATTCATCACACTCGCATTATGAATACATTCAACTTGAATCCCTAATTCACGGGCACGTAAGATAAGATCCGTATGAGTGGTAGCCCCAAATGGATCTCCGACCACTAAGAAAGCAATATCATCCACATCCGCCCCCGCTAAGATTTCATCAGCACCTTGTTCGACTAATTCTCGATCGGCTAAGATGATTGGTTTTTGGTAGAATTTCTCAAGACTGGGTTGGTCGGCAGCCATGAGGATGGAGGTGTAGGCTTCGAGATAGACTCGTTTACAATTTTGGATGGTTTGAAGACCGCGGACTGTTATGTCTGTTTCGTAGGATAATCCTAATCCAATTAAGTAAAGCATGGTAGTGGTACTGTTGGATTGAAGATGTGTATCAATTAGAGATTTTGAAATTTTTCATCTTTTTATTTTTATTTTTTTCAGCGCTTCCATATTTAGCCAAATAGATTGAGATGCGATGAGCGAAAGGGTCTCGTTCTTTCGTTAGCAGATAGATAGACAGATAGACAGATAGAACGACAGATAGACAGACACACAAATAGACTAACAATGAATTCAGAAACTAACAGAAGAAAGAAAAGCGGGCTTTCTTTCCAACTGGATTTAATTCGATATCAAGAATTACTTAAATGTAATCTAGAACAAGATATACCACCAAGAAGAGGTGAAAGAGGAGCAAGAGGAACCAGAAGAACATCAACAAGAACAAACCAGGAAGTACCAGTGCTGTACAATCTACCTATTCGAAACACCCGATCCAAGAAGAGATTATTAGAACAAATGAAACAACAACAAGAAGAAAGGTCAAAAAGGAATAAACGACAGAAACGACCTACACCGATAGAACCACTTCCAACACTATCACGACCAAAGTATATCCCATCCACCTCATCCACAATCACACTCAAGAAACCAATCTACAAATCGCAAACTACAGTCGGAGCACCTCCAGCAATCTCCAAAGAAACAAAAACCTCATTTGAAACCAAAGTTTTATTAGACCATACCTATCCAGAATTAATAAACCTAATTAAAACCAACATGTCATTAAAAAACCCCGAATTGAATACTATTGATATTTCATTACATCATAAATTATTCCCCAAGAATCTTGCCCAAGAAACTTCTCGATTTGAAATCACCCCGGAGTATTATAATAATGAAAATGAGAATCTGTTGTTGAGTATGACAAAGATGAATAATTTTAGTAATGATATTGATATGTTTTTTAAATCATTAAATGAGGAGGAGGCGGGTGAAGATAAGAAAGGGTTCATACCGTTAGTTTAGATATCACATAGATGATCAATAATATGAATCAACAATGAATCAGGTTGAGGATTTGATTTAAGGATTAATGATTTAACTTTTGTTTCTAATTGTTTGATTAAACCAAATGTATATTTCAAAGACCCCGATTCTGTTTGCATATATCTTATACATTGTTCAATCAATTCCGATTGACCTAATCTTTCTTCAGCAGTTGGGAATTCATATAAGATCTTATGAACTGGTGAAGAAGAATCAGTTGTTCGAAGACAATGCAAAATAGGTAATGACAATTTCCCTTCTATCAAATCCTCCCCCGCAATACCTTTCATTGCGGAATATTTAGTATCGATTAAATTCAAATAATCATCTCTAATCTGATATATAATCCCCAATAAATTCGCCACCGGTATCAAATCATCAAACCCGTCCCCATCTCCCTCTTTCCTATCAGGAGAAAACAATGCTAACAACTTAATACTCAATCTAAACAATCCCCCAGTCTTATCCTTAACCATCTCCAAATATTCCTCCACACTAGGCAACGTCTCCATCTTCCTCAAATAATCTCGCCAATATATATCCAACCCCTGTCCATGATGTAAATTCAACATCTCATCAATCAAAATCTTCGAAATCTCCAACCTCAACTTCTCCCCATCCACTTCCTCCCCAGCCAATTTCGGTAATTCATTCTGAGTCCGTTGTAACGCAATAAAATACATCAAATTCCCACAATTAATCGTTAACGGCACCCCAAATTTCGTATGTGCAGCCGGCATACCACGTCTATACATCGACGAATCCTCAATATCATCAATCAACAACGAACTATTATGGAAAATCAGGATGATGTCTCCAATCCCGGATAATAATGCCTGATTGGTGATGTGGTAGTAGAGTTGGTTGAAGGCTTGGATGAAGCGGGTGCGGACGTTGTTGTTATTGCCGGGGATGGAGGAGAGGTAGGTGTATGGTTGGGTTATTAGCTCGTTACTTGGATGAGTGTCTATTGGGTCTATTATTTTGTCTATATCGATGTTCATGATGGTTTTGTTGATCTTCTAGTTGATTCAACGATTATTGGTTGTGTTACTTGATCTGGAAGAATTTTATTTTTTTTTGCCGCAGTTTCGATTTTACAGGTTATGACGGAATTAAAAATAAAGTTAACACCGTAGCAAATATCGATCACCAACTCTCTTTACCAAAGCAAGTAAACAAGCAGAGGATGGAAGTATTTTGGACAGGATTACCACCAGTAACAAAAGGTTGGTCATTAGCAATCGCCACCACGGCCACATTAATCTCCCTCAAACGAGTCAAATTAGTCACATTATTATTCGTACCTGATAAAGTATTCACCAATCATCAAATATGGCGATTATTAACATCATTCTGTACATTCGATGAACTATCAGTCAACCTATTCATGGAATATTGGTTCGTCAGTAATACCTGTCGACGAGTCGAAGAAGATTTCCAAACCAATTGGTCCTTACTCCCCGACTACATCACCTCGTCGGACTATTCCCCCAACAATCAATCCGGTAACAACCCAATTCATAAACAATTAATCACTCGATATATCGAAAGAAACAAATCAATAGATTTCTTATATTATCTTCTCCAGATCTCCCTATCAATAATCGCAATGGCAAGTATAAGTCATTATAAACTCAACATCCCCATCCTCGACCTCGGAAAAGCATTATGTAATGTCCTAATCTATATCGATTCCAAAAACAACCCCAATCGAGTCGTCAACATCTTCGGATTCTTCACAATCCAGAATTCCTATTTCCCCTCGGTTTGCGCGATTTTACATATCGCCTTAACCGGGTTTAATTTTGATTTCAGTTGGACCATCATGAAGATTGTGCTATTTCCCTTAGTCTGGTTTTATGTGGTTTCATATGGGATTGGACATGTTTGGTGGATGATGAGGGAATTGGTGGTGGATAGGGTACATTTTGATAAGAATGAGGAAAGGAGGATCTTGAGGGCGGAAACGATGAAGATGTTTGGGGTTAGGAAGGTGGATGTTGTGAGGGGGGTTTTGAGGTTGGTGCTTTTGCCTCCTTGGTATTATACGACTTTGGCATGGATTAATATGCATCCATGATGAGTAATAGTGTATAGAGATTTATCTTGTATAAATATGTAGAATTCTATTTAATGGGTCTTACTCAAAGTTCAATTGTAGATATGTTTGTAATGCCCGGGTCACGGTTTAACTTGATTAAACTTACTGCCAAGCTACCAGCACTAATGAAAGTCTCTCGGACAAGGACACTTCCAACAATTATAGCAAACCGTCTTATGTGGTAAATCATTATATTCTTGGTGCAGTGAGTAAGAGTACAATCCAATTAATACAACGGTTCGACAAGTAAGGCATGCACGATAACTGATCCCAAAGTTAAGTTCATTCTACAAATTAATTATAGAAACAGAAGATTTGTGTCCCAAACACCCCATGCAGTCAGATGAACCTTCTGAGATAATAACCGTGGCATGAGACACGATTCAAAAAACGACTGGAATAGAGGTTAAGCCTAACCAGTTGACTAGTGAATCATTAACCATGTGGCCAAAGCATTCTTGGTTTTCCGAATTGAAATAATAGGTTCACCGCCAGAAAGTATACAGTGTACTTCATTTGGGTCCTCTGGATTACAGGCGAATCATCCGGTTATTTAAGACCCTCCTCGAATATCTCAATCTTAGATTAAAGAAAGAGGTTCTGGAAATATACTCATCACCGGGTTAAAAATACATGTAATATTAATTCAAAGAATCGAGTGAAGACGTGTATCAATAAAATGGGAGATTCGATTTCTATATGGAACCAAGAAAATCGTTATTAGACTTGAACCTACCAGCCTCCCCCTCTCAGTACTATGTCCACTATTTCTAGTGGAGATTCCAGAGAAGAGAACAAAAGTTCAAAAAAGAATCATGAATAGAAATCATTTTATATATAAACATCTTTTTCCATTCTAAACTGCTGTCTTGGATTATTCATTCTCTGGAGTCCTCCGACCTGAAGTAAATCACCAAAATGAAACACAGCGATATTTGCTATACTCCATACAGAGCTATTAGATACCGCGACATAGGTTTCACACCTTAATGTATACCGCAATATACACACTACTAGGAGTTGCTTCATAGCTCTGTATGGTTTATAACAATATTCCATAAACTTATAAGCAACACATAATTGAGTAAATATAAAATTTTCCAACAACAGTACAATATGATTACTCAACTTTGACGAAAAGAGGAGTATCACGAAACAGACTTACCAAAAACTAACAACATGACTTCTTGTATTACCAACTTTCTGGATTTGTTGATAGAAGCTGACTTTAGAAGTGTGTAGTTAGGGTTCCATAAGACAAAATAGTATTCTTGGGTTCTGGGTGAGTAAAGGAAGATTGAGGGTTTATTGGGGATGACAAAACATACATTTAACCTATAAGCATCAGGTATAATTATGAATGAAAGAAAGAAAGAGGTTAAACCCTTCTTGTAAATGGAAAACAAATTGGTCTATTTATAGTGTAATATTTATTTGGTAAACTAAATTACAATTTATTTAGTAGATTATTTATGTTAACAATTCATAATTAACATAAAGTTAATTAATTAAGAAAAAAAAAGTTTGCAGCCAAATTAATGAAATTATTAATTTACAATATCTATCTCCACGTGAGACAATAAAAATATGTATGCATTAACACATACAATAGTAAATCAACAAAACAATGTTTACGTCTGTGATCCCAACTAAATAGAAAATATTCCCGAGAGTATGTATATATGGTATATAATATGATGTTTAGGAAGGTATTCCACCTGTTTTAAAAAGGGGTATAAGGGGAAGAAACAGCAGAAATTTCTTGTAAAGATATTGTAGAAGTTCTCCCCCATAGTTAAGCAAGCAATAGTTAATAAAATTGATTTATAGATGGAGTACCCATTTAAATAAAAATAAACACATACGAAGGAGTGATGATTTGAATAATAATTTATTTGATTTACGAATTTTAATAAAAGGGATTTAGAAAAATAGTTAATTAATAAGAGAGAATTACAATTATTATCAGTTTATATATTATGACAGTTCCAATCTATAAATGGATCATTTTGAAACTAATACAGTATTGGGCTTAGTTATTAGTAAGATAATATATTTCCAGAAATGGAATTTACTTGTACAAATTATTGAAAAATTTAAACAATCAGATGTTGTTCCTATTTTCTTATTTCATTCTATTATAGACTAACATACAATCTTGCCAATATCATATATACATCATGTACAATTTTATGAGCGAATACTCTATCCTTCTGTAATATAAATGGCAGTATGTAACAAAATTAATTAATTACATAGACATGTACATCTCTTTTCTATGTCAAATAAGACACAAGCAGTTACAATCTTGTGAACAAGAGATTTTAATTAACAGAAAGAAGAATGCTTATTTTGCCGAGCCTCCACTTCATTTTGAAAGGAGGTTTTGGCATAAATGAATCTTGAATTATATCCTATTATTTCAGTTAAGAGAATTTGATTATGAAATCAGTTAATTTATTGTTGTTTATAAAGTTGTAGAGCTCTCTCTATTACTTATTAAGTATCTCTTACAGTTGGTTAATAGACATATGATTATTCCCCATATGTATGTATGAGGTTAGTAGTATGTATGTTTAATATTTTTCTCTCCCCGTATTTTCTTATGACTATATTGTTTAACCGAATAGTAAATACAAATTGCGTGGCTTTACTTAAATAATTAATGAAATTTAATACGCGTTATTGTTCTTTTTCGAGAGTGAAACAAAAAGCCCAAATATAGAACAAAATAGGGGGTTACAAAGACAGAGACAGATAGACAGTGTGATGAGTTCAGGGGGGGATATATACTTTACTTTCTAATATTAGAAACTATCTGACGATTTATAAAGTAGTTAGTAATAGATTAGATTAACATACTACAAGTGGGATGATTAGAATATACACATAATAACCTTAAATCTATTTTTAATTAACTTTTCTTTTAATTAGAAATTAAAATTTTGATTTTGAAAATTTTTCCTTTTCTTTTCCTTGGGGGGTGGGGGGATACATTCATTATAAAATATTTCCCTCGAGGGAAATGAAACATAAACAATTACTTTTTTTAAGAATAAGAAAAAAAAAACCACACCACACACTTTTACATTTTATTTTATTCTCTTCTTTCCTTTTAATAATTCAATCTTTCAGTCTTTCGCTTTTTTACTAAAACTTTCACTCGTTTTCATCAGAAGTTAAGTAAGTTCTTCAGACAAAATGAAATTCAGTTCCCTTATTTCATTATCTTTATTATCAACAATTGCATCAGCAATTACTCCAATTGAAGTTAAAGGTAATGCCTTTTGGTTACAAGGCACCTCAACCAGATTTTATATCCGAGGATTAGATTATCAACCAGGTGGTTCCTCCCAATTAGAAGACCCCCTTGCCGACACCGATGTTTGTACTAGAGACGTAGAATATTTTAAAGAATTAGGTATAAACACCGTCAGAGTTTATTCAATCGATAACACCAGAAATCATGATGAATGTATGCAAAAATTATCCGATGCCGGTATCTATGTCGTCATTGATGTAAACACCCCTTATTCAAGTATTACAAGACAAAATGCCAGTTGTAGTTATAATACCGATTATTTACAAGAAGTCTTTGCCTCAGTCCAAGAATTCGCCAAATATGACAACACCCTAGGATTCTTTGCCGGTAATGAAGTAATCAACGATGCCGATTCCTTAGATGCAGCACCATACGTGAAAGCAGTCGTCAGAGATATCAAAACCTTCCTCAAAAACCGAAACCTCAGAACCATCCCCGTGGGATATTCCGCCGCCAGTGTTGTAGAATACCGCTTACCTGCAGCATTATATTTCAATTGTGGTGATGATGAATTGGCAAGAATCGACATGTATGGAATCAACGATTATTCATGGTGTGGCGATGCCAGTATGACAACCTCACAATATCTGATCGAAATGAGTGATTTCGCCAATTATACTGTTCCCATCTTTTTCAGTGAATTCGGATGTAATACCGTTCGTCCAAGACCTTTCACTGAAATCGAAGTAATTTATTCCACCCAAATGAGTTCAGTCTTCTCCGGAGGATTAGTCTATGAATACTCCAATGAAGCCAACGACTACGGATTAGTCGAACTCGATGGATCCAAAGTCACAAAACTTCAAGATTTCACTAATTTGAAAGACCAACTCGCCAAATATCCAGACCCATCCGGTGACGGCGATTATAATTCCAATGGAAGCGCCAATAATTGTCCCGCTAAGAATAGTGATTGGGATGTATCGGAAGATATCCCCGACACTCCCGCTGGTGCATTGAAATATTTGAGTGCGGTAGCTTTACCTACAGGACATGGGTTTGATGCATATGTCCAACAAGCTTGTAATGATCCTGATAATACTGTGGATGATTCTGGGAAGTATTCTTCTACTGTTTCGAATGAATCTGCCGGTAGTGGTAGTGGTGCTACTTCGACTGAAAAGAAACAGAATGATGCTGGGGTTGGGGGACAAGCTAATGGATTCTTGGTTGGGTTGGCTGGTATCCTTGCTGGATTGTCATTACTTTAGATGACACCGAAGGACCAATTTTCCAATGACCTGGAACAAGTCATTGAATATAGTATTATTGAACAACAGATGTTATTTTTTTTTTTATTTACGATACCCGTTTTTGTTGTTAGATTTTGTGTAATTGTCTATATAGAGAAAATAAACCAAGTTTTTATCTCTGAGAATAACTTATCGCTTCCTGTAACACGTTGCAGACTGACCACAATTCCATGTGTAAAACCAAAGGTAACTGTCGTTTAGTAATATAAGCTTTTCTCATTTTTCAGTATAATTTTGGTTGATTAATCGATGTAGCGGGTGGTAATACTATTCAGATAAAGCATCCATCATCACTCAAACTAACCGTTGATCATCAGGCGACTAATTCAAAATATGAAACCTATTAAACAAATTATTCTACTAGCCAGGCGGTGGTGGAGTTAAAACTGATGTTACTTGAATATACTCAAGTGTTCCATGGCGAGTCTTTCCAAATAGAATGCTTTTGCAACGCCAACAAACATTTATTGCAACCTAAACTGATCAGCTTATTCAATTAACACATGCTAGATATTCACACACATCATACAGAAGGTCATGAGGTTGTAGATTTCTTTTGTGGGTTTGATTCATAAAATGCCGACACACGTTTATGAGCGATTAAATTTAGAGTTAATTTTTAACACAATATTTTTTTTTTGCAGCCATTGTCAAATCCATATTCGGAAGGTTTCATAAAACAACTACACATCAAAAAAGAAGTTGGAACACATGCTTATCTTGATATATTTCTTTACATGTTTCAGTGTCATAGAGAGAGTTTTTAACCTATTTAGGAAGGTGTCTGTTGGTTCTCTATAGTTTCTTTTTGTTTCAACGTTGGGGATAACCACATACTATCCATCCTCAAACTCATTCCAAACAACTATAAATATGACTTCAAATCTCAAATGATTTAAACTTTTTCTTTCTTTCTTCTCATCAACAAACAAACTATTATTACAATGGCTGCTCAAAACAAAAACTCAAAAACTCAATCTAAAACTGACGATGCTGCAAGAGACAACTGGGGTTGGTGGTGGAGACCAGGAAGTAATGCTAAGTTCTACGCTAGTTGTAACGTTATGTAAGAAACGGAAACTGCTGATTATTGGTTGAATTCTATAAGTAATTAATTAGGTTTAAAATTTTCGTATTTTTTATATCTAGAATAAATTACATCTTCGTTCGTTACCTATTTATTGTAGACACAGTGATTCGAGAAATATTTCTTTAACGACACTTGTAGTTGATTCAGTTGTTTTCGTTTTCAATTGAGTCTCTTAAATATTGTTAGCGAGGGTGCTTCACAGTTAACAAGCCCCATGATACTCCCAACCCAGATTATGTCAAACCTTCTTACAATTGGACAATAAATCCACTTGTAGAACTAAGCACTTACCAAGGTAACAATAGAGTATACTCAGGAATGACTATAGGCTAAGTTTATAATTTCTAAAGCAACCCCTTTGTATACCCTCTCTTATTTCTTCATCTACATCAAACTTCACGTCGAACATTTCAGTGGAATGGAGATGCAGCGAAACACAAGAAATATGATCAAAAGGTGATTATTCGAGGACAAGCATTACAATTAAAGAGAATTGGAATCCTTTATGCTAAATAATTTAATAAAATACAATAATACAATAGCTATACAATAAAACAAAAAAAAGCTAAATAACAGAATCCTTTTCAACTCATCGAAAATCTAGATTAAACCAATCCTTCCACCGTAGTAATAATCATATAAGACATCCTTCATACAGTAACCACATTGTCCAAATGAATAAATTCAAAATGAATGGAATGTTGTTCCTTTATTTTTTTTTTTTTGTTTTACATGGCTGGAGCCATGAAGGAAGAAATGCATTTACGCACGAATTAACAGTGTGGGACTCGACCATCTGGTAATACCCACTAAAACTCCCTTGAAATTTCCCCCAGTACCCATAATACAATCCATCCAAAGAAACTAACCGCTGGGCAAGCGGATAATTCACAATGAATGGAAAGTTTTGATCCCCCAGTAACCCGAATAAAAGCCGTCGGTGAACCATAGAATCCATCATCGACTTTAACCGTGCACCAAACGGATAATTCATAATGAATGGAAACTTTTCCCCAGCAATCTAGATTAAGCCGAGCCTTCTTCCCTGGAATCAGACAATGCATCCACCATTCAAACTAACCGGTGATCAGGCGACTAATTCAAACATGAAATTATTAAACTGACCCCAAGAAATCCAGCCCAACTAGATCCAAATTGTGTGGTAAATAATGGTTGATTATATTCTCTTTTAGGATAATTTTTGGATATTGGATTGTTGAAAATTTGACCTTAGAATATGACTGATGGTGTGATTGACGATGGAATGTGACAAAAGGATGTTTGAATAATACTTGAATTTGAAATTGAAATGATTGATTTAGTTCTTTTCCTTGCCATTGAGTTTCTAGAATATGGTTAGTAAAGTCTTCCTAAATAAAATGGTAGAACTCACCCAATTAACCAAGATCCCTCAATCTAGATCAAGTAAGACCTTCTTCCAATGAAATCAGATCATAAATCCACCACTAAACTAACCAATGACCAGTTGCCTAATTCAGAATGAAAATATTTCACCAATCCACGGAATCCAGTCAAACTTAGATAATCACCATTATATTTTTGGACCACTCCCAACAATTGATTTATCACCACAAGTTGAATCCTGTTAAATTATTCCCCGTTCTTTAAACACTATAATTGGAATCCCATTAACTTTTTGACCTAAATGCTTCATCACAAATTATCCCAAAATATTTCATGACCTCAAAGTGAATCCCATCAAACTATTCCCAATTCTATTATAACCACCATTGAAATGAAATGAAAAGAAAAGAAAAGAAAAGCCTGAATCCACAATCGTAATGCCAATTCCAAATTAGATCAAGCAAGACCTTCTTCCAATGAAATTAGATCATAAATCCACCACTAAACTAACCAATGACCAGTTGCCTAATTCAGAATGAAAATACTTCACCATCCCATGAAATCCGGCCAAGCTCTCTCCAAAATGGATCAACATCAATGTTTCATTTTCATGGCAGTCTTTGTATTCTTTTCTGTTTTCTGTATATTGTAGGATAGTGATATTGGGAAGTTGGATCAACAAATAAGGAATATTGGAATATGGAATGGATGAGATGACAATTGCTAGTAAGTCCAACCTAGATCAAATTAAACCTTCATCCGATGAAATGAAATAATAAATCCACCACTCGAACTAACCAGTGGCCAGTTGTCTAATTCAGAATGAAAGTATTTCTCCCATCCATGAAATCCAGTGAAACTTTCTCCAAATTATATTACCACAAACTCTATGTTTTGATTCCATTTTCTGTAGCTTAAGCGCCACAAATAAATTTGGTTTCCCTCTAACAACTTTTCCTCTGACAATCTTTGGACATTTAATGTGATAACTGCCTTTGCTGGATTGGTGGGATTGGAAAATTGGGGATTGAATGAATTAGGGAATTGAGATATTTCTTTGTGGACAACAAAGAAGGAAAAGAAGGACAAATCAAGTTAAAGTTTCTTTTTGCAATCTTCGAGCAAATATTCCTATTCATTTCGCAACACAAAAAAAAATCTGACTTGAAAAAAGCCACTCGAAAAGCCTGACCCACGTTATGCCATCTTTTTTAAGCTTGAACTACCAATCCTTTAGATTGACTTTCCCTTATTTTTAAGCTTGGGTCTTGCTTTCATGGGAGTACTTGATCTAAGAACGTGCTCTTAATAACGGACACTAAACGGTATTTAGAGCCCGACAAGATCGCGCACACATCTTGAAATAATTATTTCCACATTGGGAATCTCTGAACTATTTGCGGTATTTCTCTACCTGCTGATGGAGATCCGAGCAAATCCAAGTGATTCTGGGTTTGATGAATTGAAGTCCCCTCTAAATTAAAAAGTAAGATCAAAACACAGGTAGTTTCCATTTCAATGAATATACCTGATAAAAATGCTCTCAAAGAAAACCTCAGATTCGATGGGCAAATTCAATTCCTTTATTTTAAATGATTGTATCACATCTAAGTTCTTGTTATTCTTATGCTTAGTATTTCAGATTATTTAAGCCCAAAATTCATTCTCTTCCCGAATATCGGATTCTTATTGGTTATCTCTATATCGTTGTGCTGCATGGTTTTAGATTTATGTATGATTTTAAGCATGTTTATTAAAATATCCATTTTGTATCAAAATATTGATTAGCATATCTCCCGTTATAGGCAGACTTCTGGTTTTTCATGTGCAAACTTCTGATTCTCAACATCGTAGCAACTGGGGAACGCATCCTCTAACAAACCTATGAAACCAACGAAATTCGAAAGATTTCCAGAACCATCTCTAGAGGAAGCAGAAGAGTCCTTCCAAAGTTGTAGAAAGTTCTACGCCTATAGTAGAACTACGTACAATTTCTCTAGATTTTTGTTGAAGAAAGTAAATGTGGTTGTAAAAACGTTTGGTTGTAAAAAAAGCGAACCCTGAAGTTTCAAATACTTAGGCTCCACTTAAGTAGGAGAGATACAAACAGCAGCAGTAAAAATGAATACAGTATGA